CAAATTATATTAATGACTAAAATTAAATAACATTGGAAGATCAAATTAACTTTGTACTGTTTAAAATTCAGTTTTGGTTTCTTGCTTATTCCAGCCTCTTAATATTCAAAAGCATTCCTTGTCATTTTTGTGTTCTTTTGTGTAACATAACTTAAAAAATAAACACAGAGAAAGGAAACCACAAAGGATTAAACTTGAAGCTAAAGCAAAGTTTAAGTTGAGCCATTGCTGATCCAAATACTGAGCACTTTATATCGTAACCCATTTGGCAGTAAAGTTTATCTATATGTCTGCCAGCTTGTCACAAGTCTTACCCTCTCATCCAAAAGTCTATAAAAAAATTTTTCCTTGTGGTCCCTAATTGATGATAAGTATATTACAGCTCCTCAATTTCCCTCTCTCAAGACAAGGTTACTCTAAATTTAACAAAGTAATGGACTTGATAAAACTCAAACTATAACTCAGCTGGCTGCTACTTGCAACCTTAATTTCTTAATATCAGTATACAATAATCATTATTATATAAATAAGAACCCTAATGCTTAATTTTGCAGTGATCAACTTCCTCCTTATCATTTGCAGACCATACTGAAACCTCCATAGGTGTGTTTGCTTGTTTTGAGTGGGGATGGAAGAAAAGGAATCATGCCGCATATCAGATTTATTAAACCAGATTCGTTCTGTTTATACATGGGCAGAACTACCCTGTTTTCTGGAAAAAATAAAATTTCTTGCATTTTTATCTGTGCTTTGCAGTCAAATTTCCTTGTGTCTTGAACAAGAAATCTTATTTTCTTGAAAACAAAATCTTTGTTTGTGGCCTTCTGTAATTGGTAAATATAACAGTGTAAGATGAGTGATAGTGTATTTCTCAAAATATTTTTTTGAATGTGACAAAACCGAAGTGTCATAGCGTGATAAGGAGCCAACATATGATTGCTTGATGGAAAGCAAAAAATGCAGAATCGCATATATTTTCTCCTTTGTCAGCAGCATATGTTAGTGGAGAGTTCTTATAATTGTTAACTTCTAAACCATCTTCAATTTAGCCAAGATTGAACTGTTATCACGTTTGTCATAAAAGTATTCTGAGATCAATGTCATATGACCCATTCATGTATGTATTTGACCTTTCGAATTAGCAAGCCATAGGTGACAGTAACACAAAGGTTGCAGATAAAAAGAAAATATTATGTACAGTACTTCTTCCGCATCTTTTTGTTTCCTTTTCTCTCCAGCTGTTCTATCTATGCTGTGCTGGCAATTGAACACTTTCCTTCCCAAAATTAGGAAAGGCACACCAGTAAAAAAACCAATTTTTGCTCCATAAATATCTCATGCATCTTCCCAGAGTATTTTGTGACTTCTGTCCAAAGAAAGAGGTGAAAGCATTAAGCTAACCCGAATGATTCCACAATTGTGGTATTATCCAAGCCATGCCAAAGGACTTGAACTAGATAGACTAGTGAGAATGCACAATAGCGAGACATGACTCCTCCTTGACAATTTGGACATGAAAGCAAAGCTTTGTAATGCTAAAGAGCTATATCAACATATATATATACCATTGTTCCCGAAACCTTTGTCAGCTTTAAAGCAAGCAAACTTCGTCGTCAATCCTGTTTCAAATTCCACCACAAGTTTATGCGCCTCATCGACAGAATTAACGTATCTTAAATTATTCGCATGTCTACCATCAAGCAAAGGTTCGCGCTCTAAAATTCCTGCCATGCTGTTTCTGTTTGTTCCTCAAGAATCATGGGATTTACAGCTTCGGATGTTCGGTTACATCACTCGCGGATTCCTGAGAATCTTCGGTTATGTTTTGCAAGTCATTAAACATTCCATCTCAGTCCCTCTCGACCGAGGTGTTTTGGTGGATGGAATCTAATGCTGATCTAATGAGCAGAGGGGCATTTTGTTGTGCATGTTCTGTAAATTTTAGTTTGATACGAGAAACTGCTGGTATGCGCCTGCTTAGCCCGCTCAAGAATTGCGAAAGAAAAGAAGCAGAAAAATATGTTGGGAAAAACAATGGTTTGAGTATTTGAGAAAACCCTTCTTCTTATTTTTTCTTCTGTTACTTAGATGGAAGCGGCAAAGTCTTAAAATTATTGTAATGTGTGGAAGGAAGTTATTTCATAATGCAAAAGATTGTACAAATGACTTCGAGTCGTGTCTTGTGATTGTTTGGGCGATTGATGTAGATGTTATTTTTGAAGGATGCAAGTGGCCTGTCGAAGAGCACAAACAAATTGGATAGTATACTTTTATTGTGTCATTGCTCTCTTAAGTTATCGATAATCATTTGAAGTACTCGCCTTCCTATAAGCGTTTTTAGAGCTTCAACTGTACAGCTAGTGCAGTGTACTCCCAATTTTGGCAAAAAATAGAAGTTTACAGAAGTTTGTTTTGTTTCAAAAGTTTTTTTGACATGAATCACAACTGTCAGGGCCGATTACCAAAATAAAAAAGGGTCAATGTCGAGTAAAGAAAAGTAAGACAACGTTAGTGCTAGAGATATGGTAGCTTCATCTGGAGGAATAATTATGGATTCCTCCAAATGGAGGAATAATTATGGATTTTATCAGAGTAAGGTAAAGTCTTTTCAATCATCAGTCTCAGAAATATCATCAGATATGATCAATGATGCAGGGAAATTGTGAATGAAAACAAGTACTAGTTTGGGCTTCCAGTTGTAAGATGAATAGTTAAATAAATCAATTATTACCCTATGAAAATCACATTTATTTATAATTTCAACTGCACAACAAAATCTTATACAATCTTTGAAACCTTATCCTCCATCCTAATAAATTACAAGAGTTGTGTTTGATGGTCTGAAAAGACTTATACATGCCAAACAACGAAGAACCAGCAGGGCCAATATTTAATAGTGAGGATAAAAAACAAAATATTTCCAAAAGCCTTTTCTTTTCAGGAATAAGATTACATGAGGTCAGATTAAACTAATGTGGAGAGGTTTCTTGGTCTCTTTACAAAAATGGATGATTTACATCTATCAGATTTTAGAAAAATGAGACTTAAATCAAAAGGGGACTTTGACATTGCATATTCTGCAGTAACGGGCATCGGCTTGGATTCCTATTTGCAGAAATTAATAGTTTTCAAGCCAAGGGTTTGGCTGTGCTAATCTTAAGGCAGAAAAATCATAAATCAGTCACTTAAGAAATTTTCTAGCTCTGACTGCAAGCTCAAACACTCTTAAGGAACAAGACAATATTTCAACTGATCACTTCTCGTGTTATTTTCCCATGAAATTTGGACAAAACTTTCAAAAACTTTATTGGTAATTTTACAGTTGCAAAAAAGGTATAGACACAAGTTGCATATAGCATAAGCTAGTCGAGGCAAATTGTGTGGAGAGAACAAAAGATTGATAGTTTATACCAGTAGTAAGCTTCTGGTACTAATGACATTCTCTTGAATGCCAGCTTACCACAGCAAATGTCACACCTATCCTTTCTGTCAATAGTACCAACCATATGTAGTGGGGTCACTTCACATCTCCCTAAACAGCAGAGAACACAATAGTTAATTCCAATCATCAGTCTCAATTAAGAAATAAAAATTGAAGGATCAAGACTTATCTGGCAAAGTGAAATGCAAGTCAAACTGGTTTGAAGACATTTTTAACCCGAAAAATATGACAGAAATACTGTAGTTCACATTCTAAAGAAACAAGGAGTTCTGGCCCCTTGAGTAATTATCCATTTGCTGTATCACTCATTTCATGTTTTAGGAACCAGAGAAAGTTAGATAATTTTAATCTGCGAGTTTTATAGCACACTTCGACTCAAAATTAATTTCGTATGGCAGAAGTATTCTACTGAAATAAACAAGATAGAATGAAGCTGACGCCATCCGTTTCGAATAAAACATGAACACAAAGAAAACAGCACCAGTTTAAACTCATTATACAAAGCCCACGCATTTTTTTGAGGTAAATGAACTGGTTAGACCGAAAGCTAAATAAACAATGAACTGACAGCGGTGAGGGATTTGGGGGCCATGTGATAAAACAAGTTCTACCGAAGTTTATCCTCTAGTTAACACTTCGAGCCCAAAAGGGCAATCAGAAAAATTCTCACCAAAACACAGCAACAAAATAAGATAAAACCGGAGATGATCGAGGCAAGACTATAAACGTTGTTAAGACACATGCCTACATACCAAGTACAACAGACTTGGAGAGCAAAAAGGCCAAAGACAGTTGTGAGCCATGACTTGGAAAATCCACCTAAACCTCCCAAAAACGAATTCGCCGAAAAAGAGCAACTCAATCCTGAAGCTGGAACATTTTTTTAAGCCTCGCGTTCTGTGGTACTACGAAGAGAAAGAAGAGAAGATGTTATTTGAAGTGATTTGAAGCTTGGGGCCACCTCGAACTTAACGTGATTTTATTTCAAAGTTGAGGTACAATAAGATCAAATTGTAAACTACCTTCAATTATCGTAACGAATATCTCGCGATCGCCTCCACACATCACTTCGTGATTCATAGAAATTAGAAATCAACATCTTAAGACTAACCTTCAAGGTTTGTAGTCTCATGTGCAAATCTTGATCGTCAGCAAATTAAATCTCAAACATCAAGTTTTCGGCCTTTTATCGCGTTTTGTTCGCACTTTGATCATTAAAATATCCTCACCCGAAGAGCCAGCAAACTCCACGAGTATCCACAGAGTTATAAATGGTGATAAACTTGTCGTACTCTTTCATCCCTCTTCAAAAAGTATCACAGAAAGGTGTCGATGCTCAGTTGAAAACCCGCAAAAGCGCGCTAAAAATATCATTCACGCTATGTCACCTCAGTCCCTATCGACCGAGGTGGATCTATGCAGAGTATGAGCACTTCAAGCATGCGTACTTCCTTGACCGCCATCTTCAAAACAGTGCATGATAGAAAGAAATGTAGAATTTGTTCTTTAATTCATTTCTTTGGTGGATTAGAAAAGCAGAAGATTAATTTAGATCGAGATGTCGGGGCCCAATGCTAAGATTGGAATGAAAGTGAAGGTTGTTGAGAAAGGCCTAATGGGAACTGTGGCTTATGTCGGATCGACTGACTCGACTTTGTTTGCGTCAGGAAAGTGGATCGGAGTTATTTTAGATGAAGCAAACGGAGAAAACGACGGTTCAGGTACAAACTTTTAAGTGTGAATATAAAAATGTTTATGTCGTTTCAATCGTGAAAGGGGCTTGTGAAAAAGGGAAGCTGATCTTAAATCAATAGATCAGTTAATCAATAACTTAAATTTCCAGCCATTTTTACCCATAGTGTACTCCTCGCATATTGTACAATGAAACCCTAGGATAGCATCCGTGATCTATGCAAAGTAACTTTAATTATAGAGAAATTACGTATACAGGTTCAATTATTGATCTGGAAATGATGTATACTTTCAATCTCAGAGTATGTGATAACTTTTAGGGAATCTTTGTACTCATTTAAAAAGTAATGCTCTGGTACATAGTAGTTTCAAGTAAGTTAAGTAACATTTGGAAATAAATATCAAGCTATGTGCCAAATGAGCATAAGGACTTTAATAAGGAATATTGATACTGTTTCCTTACTCGGAACTGGTTAGATCAAATGACCACCACAAACCGTATAATATTAAGCCAAGCTTTAGTAATTATTCAATCTAAAAGTAATACATTTATAATTCGCAATTAGAACAAACGCAAATCAAGTCTTTATCTTGTAACTAAATTAAAAAACTTCAATATAAACTTCTGTGGCGGGTCGTTACAACAGTCTCACTTTACGGGTTCGCAGATTCTCCAGGTAAGCGGATTTAGAGACAGAAAAACGATAACAAAATAACTTCTTTCTCACTTTGATTCTGCTGAAAAACTGACTTAAAACATAATAATCTAACGCTTTTAAATCAATCTATTGAATTAATGTCAATCACGATTCTTGTCATTGAATAAATCTGTCAACACGAGGCAACGCCTATTTATTAAACGAAACATTACAAGTTCATGATATTATGGACTGAAGGCTTATCCTCTTTTGTACTACTTAAGGCTGGCTTGGTAAATTTATATTTTTTGGGACTTGTGCCATGCTAGTTTCTTTTCTCTGTGAATAGCTCTTCAAGTTACTTGAATTAAGTGAGCTTTTGCTGTAGTATTTTTTCAATTATGGAAGCATCTCAGACAGAATAGGCCACCTGTGCAAGGTGGGAAGATAGGCCAAACTTGCCTGCTTGGTTAGTTGAACAATACACAGCATTTGCCTCATTTTACCTATTTGTGTTGTGAGCTATTTCATGAAAAATATTTTTTAGGAAACACTATCTCGCTAACTCCACTTTAGTATAGTCTGTAGCATTTTACCACCGGCTAAGAATTCTTTAATATGATTAAGTGCAGGGAAAAGAGTATTTCAAATGTGCTGAGAACCATGGAATCTTTGTGGACCAGTCCCAAATAGAAATTCTTCAGGATGTGCAAACCTCCCTATTGCCACCTAGTGGATTGTTAACCTGCAGTAGCATTGGTGGAGGTACTTCCATTCCTTTACCATCATCAATGAGAAGAGAGAAGGTAGGATTGATGCTTTCATGTTTTTGTGATGCTTAATCCTTCCTCTCCCAAGATCTCATCAATAATTCTCCCTACTTTCTACGAAATAATTCTTGCAATGATTTTTTGGAGACTCTGGTATTAGATAAACCAATAATCTTTTAAAACATATTTTTATTTATTCTCATCACTTGTCTGCTTGTTATTGTACTGATTTTGTAAGAAGAAATTCTGTCTTGGTCATTCATAGGTATCAAAGGGTTTTCTGGTAAAACCCTTTCCCTATTAAATCCACTGTTACTAGGTTATCTGATGTAAATTTTGTATCAGCATGGCTTGTTTGTGTTTTTGTTTTTATATTCAAGTGGGTTTATATTCTCATGAATTTCTTCAGAAATAATTTGAATAAAGAATTAAAAACAATTGTTCTACAATTCTGTCCTTAATTACACTATAAAGGTTCTATTTATGGAGTTATGTTAGTGGTTAGTGGTTATGTTAGTAAACTCAAAAAATACTAGTTACCATTGATAGGTTGTGTTTTAAAATGGTGATCTGATATATTATAAAGGGGGGGTTTCTTTAAAATTTCAGGAAGCTGAAACAGTTTTGGCTGAACTCAAAGAACAGTGTGTGTGTGTCTGTTGTCTCCTTTGTATTTTTACAGTTCTTTTTTCATTTTTGATAGTATTGTTGGTGGCTTTTCTCAGAATGATAGTTTTGAAGTGCAACTCTCAATCAAGAATTAAAAATTACCACACAATTTCTTAAATTGTTTGTATTTAAAAGTTTGCTTGTTTCCCAATGTTATTTATAAAAGGTTGATACTGCACAAGGAGTGGAGGAAACAGTGAAAACTCTCACTGATAAGAATAGGAAGTTGGAACAAGAACTTGATACTCTGAGGGAGTATAATGCTTACTTGGTAAGTGAACTGTAACCATAAGTACAATCATTGTTCTTAAGAGGTTTTTCTTATTTTAACAGCATGAAAGCTTATTGAGTTATAAACCTATTAGACAACTGCTGTTAAGACAACTTCAAATGAATGCAGATTGAGTGTGCTTGATTAATTTTTGTATCAAAATTAAGGTAATCTGATATTATGCAATCTAATTGAAGAAAACTCTCATGGATTTGAACAAGGAACTTGAGGAATATCACCTTCAAATTTAGTTTGCTTGTTTTAAAGATTGATAGTTTCCCAATGTTATTTATAAAAGGTTGATACTGCACAAGGAGTGGAGGAAACAGTGGAAACTCTCACTGATAACAATAGGAAGTTGGAAAAAGAAATTGATTCTCTGAGTGAGACTGTGCTTGACATGGTAAGTGAACTGTAACCATAAGTACAATCATTGTTCAAGAGGTTTTTCTTATTTTAACAGCATGAAAGCTTATTGAGTCATAAACCTATTAGACAACTGCTGTTAAGACAACTTCAAATGAACACAGATTGAGTGTGTTTGGTTAATTTTTGTATCAAAATTAAGGTAATTTGAAAATTATGCAATCCAATTGTAGTTCTTTTTTCATTTTTGATAGTATTGTTGGTGGCTTTTCTCAGAATGATAGTTTTGAAGTGCAACTCTCAATCAAGAATTAAAAATTACCACACAATTTCTTAAATTGTTTGTATTTAAAAGTTTGCTTGTTTCCCAATGTTATTTATAAAAGGTTGATACTGCACAAGGAGTGGAGGAAACAGTGAAAACTCTCACTGATAAGAATAGGAAGTTGGAACAAGAACTTGATACTCTGAGGGAGTATAATGCTTACTTGGTAAGTGAACTGTAACCATAAGTACAATCATTGTTCTTAAGAGGTTTTTCTTATTTTAACAGCATGAAAGCTTATTGAGTTATAAACCTATTAGACAACTGCTGTTAAGACAACTTCAAATGAATGCAGATTGAGTGTGCTTGATTAATTTTTGTATCAAAATTAAGGTAATCTGAAAATTATGCAATCTAATTGAAGAAAACTCTCATGGATTTGAACAAGGAACTTGAGGAATATCACCTTCAAATTTAGTTTGCTTGTTTTAAAGATTGATAGTTTCCCAATGTTATTTATAAAAGGTTGATACTGCACAAGGAGTGGAGAAAACAGTGGAAACTCTCACTGATAACAATAGGAAGTTGGAACAAGAACTTGATACTCTGACGGGGAATAATGCTTACTTGGTAAGTGAACTGTAACCATAAGTACAATCATTGTTCTTAAGAGGTTTTTCTTATTTTAACAGCATGAAAGCTTATTGAGTTATAAACCTATTAGACAACTTCTGTTAAGACAACTTCAAATGAACGCAGATTGAGTGTGCTTGATTAATTTTTGTATCAAAATTAAGGTAATCTGAAAATTATGCAATCTAATTGCAGAAAACTCTCATGGATTTGAACAAGGAACTTGAGGAATCTTACCTTCAAGCTGAATATGACTTAAAAGAAGAACTAGAAATGAGAAACAGTAAAGTTCGTGAGGTAAAGTCATCCTAATGCTCACCTCCACACTTTAAAAGCTGTTTACACTTCAATATCCTCCTGCTACAGTTAGATGTTCACAAAGTCACCTCATGGGAAGAAGTCATGGACTTTAAATAGCTCCTTTTGGCGATGTGAATTAGCAAGATTTTATATTGATTGTTACATTTTCGTAGATGGAACTTAAACTAAAGACAACTCAGGAAACTAATGAAGAACTGGAGGCTAAACTGCAGGTATGGATTTTTATTTTGAAAGTTAAATAATTGAAATGTAGAGGTGTAAACAAGAAAGTTTTCATCGAATACTGTGATCCTACTGAGCCCTACTGAGCTCCACAGGATTTTTAAAAAAAATTCTGAATTGGTTGTTGTAATTAAGGTAATCTGAAAATTGTGCAATCCAATTTTAGAAAGCTCTCATGGATTTGAACAAGGAACTTGTAGAAAATCACCTCTGTGTGTGTTTGGTATTTTGTAGCTTCTATGTAAAGTTCTCCTATAGACTTTGAAACTTTGTTGAAGATCTTCATTACTAGTGACTGACTGTTATACATACATGATTATATAGTTTAACTTTTATTAAGAGGTCACCCATGGGGAATGGTGGATGACCCCTTAATACAGGTTGACCACTTGGTACAGGTTCCACAGAAAAGGGCTGTTTTAAAAACACCATTTTATTCTGTAATTGACCTCTTAATATGCAAAAACTCAGGCAAAAATACTTCTTACATTGATTTCAGGAGGTAAACCTGGATTAAATTTTTCTTGAAAGATTATTCTTAGTTTAAATAAAATACGTGTGTTATGTGTGAAGCAAACTGTTCTCGGATTTTGTTTGAGGCATCTTCACATGTGCCTGAGATCTTGGCAGTCTACTTTGTTGGTTCTATCATCAGTCAGTTCTTAAGTTCTTCGCTTTCAGGAGTGACCCAACAGTTACTTATCTTTTAAATTTCTAGAAATGTATGGAAAGAAAAGATAAATATCAACCAGGGATTACAGTTCGATCCAACACCAAATTCTTAAAGCTGAAATAATGAAAATATGTCGTAGAAGTGCGGATTGTTGATAGTTCACTTTTGGCTAGAAAGGTTTAAGCGTTCGCAAGTTGCTCCAGTCATGCAAACTCATCCGCGCTTACATTTTGTATATTTCGGTAAACCTTAGGATTTCGCTCAACTGTTTATTTGTTCAACAGAACAAATAAACATACAGAACGTGAGTTGATTACAGTGTTTTCATAAAATATCTTTTATAATTTTCGAATATTTTGCGAATATTCGAATATTATGAAGTCAATAATATTTTTAATTCGTTTGCCTACTCTTCTGAGACCTGATTTTCGAGAAAAAACATGTTTTTTTTCTTCTCCACTAAACAGGTCATGGCTGCAGCCGACACAAGTGAAAAGAAGATTGCTCAGTAAGTTCTCTTATTATCTTTCCTTCACGTTTTTAACAATGAAACTCAACACGAATTACGCTCAGTAAATGATAATCTCTCGACTATTTATGTTAGTGAAAGTGTCTTGCATATTTGGTGAACAAAAAAGGGTTCTGCTTGCAGTAAAAACAACACAAACAAAAAGAAAATAAGCCTTAACATTAACGTTAACAGAGCTCTGGAGAACCAAGGTGGGACACAGAAAAGACAAAGGAAAGATGAGGTAGAGAATGAAACAGCAGCAAAAGCAAAACGTCGAAGAAGTGGTAGAAATGCAGCAACAGAAGCAGCGACTAGAGGCTGAGAGTGAGAAGAAGGAGCAGTCCAAAAAGCAACATGAGGATTTGATGCAGGTCCTGCTGCAGCAAGCTAAACAGCAACAAAAACAAATGGAAAATTATATGCACATGTTCACCTCAATGTACAAGCAGCAGTCTCAAATTACCAGAAAACTCCTAGAAAAACATAACCGAGCCATGCCCTGATTTTGTACTGTGCAAGATGAATATGTAATTTCTGACGGTTGAGCGACTATGAACGAATTAGTCAGAAATTACTATTCTGATGGGACGATTGAGAGGTTTTAGTATTCTCAGGGGAGAGTTTTGAGTATTTAATGTTTTAGCGGGGAATATTAATCATTCTAGCTCAGTCAGTCTTTCTGTTTGCTGTTGTCAATTTAGTTAAATTTTTTCTATGGAGTTATGGGTTTGTTTGTACCTCTTCCCCGAGGTTCCGTGCCACTGCATTAGATGAGGAATACGTTTCCACATATTTTTTGGCCACATCTAAAGAGTGGTTTTTTAGTGGTTTTTCGTATCTGGCGTGGTACACTTAATTTTTCAAGCTTTTCAAGTTAGACTTGCTAGCATATTCTATGTTGTAATAAGTATATGTTACGACACATTGTTGTTGTCGGATGACTGACTGACCATTCCTCAATAAACTATTTCACATTGAATGTTTCGTGATAGTGTAGTCAGAATGGACGGGAAGGTCACTCTTACGAAAACGAAACTCGGATAAACACTCACTGTCATTCGTATCACTAAGGTCAAATTTCCCATGATTTTCATAAGGAAAATCTGGGCTTTTGGATGTGTTAACGTCATAAAGAAGAAGAAACTCGTCCTCCGATCAGTATCGCCACCATCAAAACTTTGCAAAAGAATGCTACGAATCTCTCTAAAGGAAGCCTTGACTGAAGTACTTTATGATAAAAATCGAAAATATGTAAACAGAGCCGCCCGCGCCTTCGACTTGGTCTCTTTAGGATAATTTTCGCGCCTTGCGACGGCAACCTCTTCCCAGTCCTCCCTCGGTCATGACAGCCGTCATAGACATCCGCCGTACTCGGATCTTAAGGTCCCTACCATAAGTCACTGTTTTACAGGTAACTGCAATAAAACTTTGTCACGGGTTGTGTAATTACTTTGGTTTCGAATTACGATGAAGGTTTGATTTTTTGATTGACGCAGTAGCAATGCTAGCTAGTGTATGACTATTTTCATTGACAGAAACAGTATCAATCGAATAGTGAACACAAGGTAATCGAAGTAGAGGTAAATATCCACCACGTTTTTAGACGCCGAGGTGAATAATTGTTTTAGTATACACCACGCAGAAATTACTTTACCTAATATCTGGCAATATACCGAAAAATGGACAGAAATTAAAGTTGATTCTTTCTGTTTTGTCTTTTTGGTTGCTCGAAGGTGAATAGTACTTGCCTATCACTTCTGAACTCGCCAATCAGCGTGCGCGGAGAGCACTATTCATCTGTGTGGTACAATATTAATACTAGGTTTCTTAAACATGCGTCGCCTTCTTTCTAGTTCACCGTAATAACAAAAAAAACACAAGCTAACCCTTATTTAATTATTTGTTTAGGCTGATGCACGAGTCGAAGCTGCAAATCGAAAAATGGAGCAATCTACGGAGGACTTTGCGGGAGAGGAAAAGTAAGTCTTAAAGGCTGTTAACAATTTTCCTTAGATACGTATGTCCACTTCACTGAGCTCTAAAGTTCACGTTGTTGTTCTATAAATGTGACAATTTCAGAGGATGGGTGGGGTTCGAGGGGGGAGCTATAACTCTGCTACGTCACCTTTTCAGCTATCTTCGACTGCATTCCAACTTGGAAAAATTCTCCGAGGTACTTTTCCACCAACTTTATGTTTATGTCAAGAACAAACCATTATCGACATGTTCGATGCCTTTGCATTGATATACACAAATAAAACTCATTTTAAAAATAAAAAATTTTCACTAGGCTTCACTTTGAAAGCAAGGGTTTTTGAAACTCGAAAGATAGCTCATTGAAATAAACACTGTACTTTAGTAGTCGCACACTAATATAACGGCTAAAGTGGTGTCAGTTAATCGTCCATACATAATCAATATTATGTGGCTAACTTCTTTTCGTAGGGAATTCGAAGAAACTATGGATACTCTCCAGAACGACATCGACACCTTGGAGAAGGAGAAGGTTGACATGAAGAAACGTTAGGATGCTTACTCAAAGAAGTCCCTACTGGCCGATCTTGCGCGCCATGCCTCATCATCATCTAGCATCACGGCTGTTGTAAGTACGGAGATTCATGCTGACATCATATCCTTTACCGCTCTGAAAGATGTCTGAAAAATTCTTCCTTTATTATTTTGATTTACCTATGGTTTAAAAGAGAGGTCGAAAGAAAGACGGAAGTTAGTAAGAGAGTCCTCTTTTAAGAGCAATTTTCATTTGAAGGTCAAAAGTAATGTAATTAGTTTTGATTTAGTTCGCTCCGTGATTGGTTAAGAGAACTCATGTCATTTGCCTAGCCAATCAGAATTAAAACAATAACTTTAAGTGAGGGCGAAGTGTATTAAATCATAACAATTTATGGTGGAAACTTTCAATTTTTTCTCTCAAGAATAAGTTTTAAGCTGACGATTGTCTTAAGTAAACAGTGATGGTGTACAAAGACGAGAAAAGCTTTGCAGAAGTTATTTTTAAAGGTTGTAAGTTTCTCAAAGAAATTGTAGCACTGCGTCGTTGGGAGGTATTACAATATCAACTGAGTTTACAATGTAAAGCCTTTTGAGGGATCATCGTGGGGGCCGTGACTTCACTAGCCGCCATGCAATTATGATGCCCGCACTTTTGTGCTGTTTTGTTTATGGAATGTTGTATTTCCATCTTTTAATTGTTTGTTATTCTTTGTTCCTTTTCTATCAGGTGCGGCTGCTGCTAAGAGCAGGATTCACGTATAATACTTGCTCAGGTAAATCATTTGCCAGATTACACCACAGTGCTTGTAAGTCGCAACGGACGGTGTTACAACCGTCAGGAGCGATTGAAAGTTTTAGTTACGTTGTTGTTACCCTGAGAGTTGCTTCGAAGATTCTTTTAAGTAAGAAGTCAATTAGAGAACGAGTTAGTTGGACTTTTCGGCGCAATGCGCAAATTGATTTCATTTTGTTTGCCATGGGTATCACGCATCTGTGCATTGTAGTCAGCGTAGGGCATTCGCGTGACCGGAAATATTCGTCGGCTGATCAGGTGTGAACTTATGTGAAGAAACGATGCGCAATGAAAAATAAAGGATTGACCTAAGATGTGATTGTGTTGGGAACCTTTTTCTCATCAGCTTTTGGTTTTTTTTCTTGCCTCTTGTAACCAATGTAACGTACGTAACCTGCTTTGGCTTGAAATCTTTTGTGCGCGTCCTGTTAGACTTTGTCTCAAAGTTAGTTGGTCTCTTTTGTGTTGATTGGTTTGATTTTTTTTCCATTCAGGTTGACTCGCTTAACGTTACCTTGAAGCATCTAAGAAACGAAAGTATCCGTCCTAAGAGTCAGCATATGAAGGTATGGTGGCCAGTGCATTCAACTCTCTCCCCTTATTATTATAAGAGAACCCATCCCTCTGTTTCGCTTGAATAGTGACCTTTTTTTCTTTAGGAGCAACTGGATGGGTAGGCAAAAATATACATACCACCGAGAATTTAGCCTCGCAATGAGCCTTTGGAGCAACAGAGCGACGAGACAGCGGATAAAGAACAAAAGGAGAAGGAATTAGTACCTGGCCTTAACACTGTTACATGGGAAACTAACAAATTACTCGAGGTATGAGCAGAATCCACACGACAACGACCTCGCTTTAACGGGCAGGCATTATTGAATTAAAGACGAGCGTTGAACTGCGAATTATCATTTGGCTGGCTCCTTGAGTAGAAGAGATGAAACGAATCCTGTAAATTGATTGGCCGAGCATATCTTGCCCGCTTGCGCATGGTCATATGATGCAAACTTTAATGACCAAGCGCATTGTGCGCGCTCTCATCTTTCTTCAATCAATATTCGCTTCTCTCCCTTCCCTTTGAAAAGCGGCCACAAACGCCAACATTCAGCCATTGTTTTTTTGCTAAAAAACAAATTTGTACAAAGCAATAGAATTATCTAGAAACCTTTGTGGCATTGCAGGTGTAAAGTTATGGAATCCCAAATGAAAGGGTTCTCAAATCTCCACAAAAATAGTGGGGAAAGGAAGTGTGTGTGGAAAGTGTAGTATGTGTAAAATTATGAAAAATAAAAATGTTAGGTATTAAGTAGAGCATGTACCATTAGGCAGTGAAAAAATAAAATGATTAGTCGATGAAAAGCGCTACGTTGAGGGACCAACAAACTGCAAGGCAGCTACGTCAACCACAAGGCAGCGTCAAAATGATGATCATTAGTTGTTAAACTGTGTACTATAGCGTGGAGGGACCAACACACTGCAAGGCCATACATAAAGACCTAGAGGTGTAGTATACTTGATTTTAAGTATGTTTCGTATTTTGTCAGTTAGACTTATAATTTTGTTGTAGTTTTCATACAGCAGGGTCTGCATCTCACCGTCCAACGATCTGATTTCTGTAAGTCGAATATAAATATAACGGACAAACACAGGGCAAATTTGGATAAGAATTTAAAAACATAGGCATGCTATTTTGGAATATCCCTGGCCCATTTCTTGATGAAAATCGATCGTAATATGATTTCAAGCCTTCGTATAGTCTTTTCATTTTGCGCGCGAGTTGGTTGGTTTGATGTCTGTACAGATTTTACCAACGTAAAAAAAGTAGATGTAAACGAGATGTCACTCTTAACACCCGCAACATTCGAGAAACAAATGTCAGCTTTGCACGTGGTCCGTATTATCATTTTTTTAAGCTGTATGTGTTTATTTTGTTGACAAAAATGTGGACCGAGACCAAAAATGTTCCTTCGACTTGATATATTTTCGACGTTAGTAGATCACATCATATTAACTTACCTCCGTAAATCATTTATTCCAGATAACAATATCAAATAAACATGCTGACGATGGTATCTGTATTCGTCCTTAGCCAAACACAAACGACTCCTTAAGACCACTTTTTCCAGGCATCGAAAATATACGCAAAATCGTCCATAGTTAATTTTAATCAGACATTCATCTAAAGATAGCACCGAGCAAACCAATCCAGAAAAATATGATCGGCACCCTTAACATATCACGACTCTTGCAACACAGATTGCCGTTAAAGAACTGCTCAAATCAAAATGTTTGGTGCAATTCATCAACACCTCAAGCAATATTTGATTCAGAAATTTTCCACTCACTCTCGTCTTAAAGGAACAATAACCATGATCGTGCTACAGTATACAGAACTCCTTTTTATCTCGAACAACTATCCACCATTTTCACAGCATGAGTAACACGTTTACTATAGGTAATCTGATATCTTTCATCTGTCCAGTGGTATCGCATTTCTCCTAAAGCGCGGTAAAATACACGTTAAAAACACAGAAAAGCCAACATTTCTCATTCTAAAAGATAATTCCATTTTACAAGCTGCTCTCTCCGAATCCCGCGTCTCTCAAACTAAAGAAGAAAACGGACGCTCTGATTGGTGCGAGATACAAACCCTGATGCGGCGATCTGATTGGTGCAAGATAATACCCTAAACGATCTGATTGGTGCGAGGAACATACCACTATCTGTACGCTAACAAAGATGTTATTAAAAAAAAAAAAAAAAGAAACCAGCCACAGTAACTAAACATACATCATTGTCTGTAATTACAAGGGGAATAAAGCGATCAAAGCGTCAGAGACTAATAAATGATTTTAATTTGTGGACACTCTTACATACCCGTCGCTTTCTCCTCCATCTTGATTGTATTTGAGGCCTGGAGTCATTTATGTGAGACCCAGTGCAAGGAAAAATTGTAATGACCTCTTTGCTGACGAAAGAGGATGGACTAGGCACAAAAACACACCAAGGAGTTCGAGCATGCGCGCTTCTTAGACCGCCATCTTGAAGGGAGTGCTTGATAGAAAGAAATGTAGAATTTGTTCTTTAATTCATTTCTTTGGTGGATTAGAGAAACTGATAATTATTGTAGAAAATAATATAAGTCATCAGAAGATTAATCTAGATCGAGATGTCGGGGCCCAATGCAAAGATTGGAATGAAAGTGGAGGTTGTTGGAAAAGGCCTTGTGGGAACTGTGGCTTATGTCGGATCAACTATGTTTGCCTCTGGAAAGTGGATCGGAGTTATTTTAGATGAAGCAAAGGGAAAAAACGACGGTTCAGGTACGAACTGTTAAGTGTGAATATAAAAATTATTCGTGTCGTTTGAATCGTGAATGGGGCTTGTGAAAAAGAAAAGCTGTTCTAAAATCAATAGATCAGTTAAGTCAATAACTTAAACTTCGAGCCATTTTTACCCACAGTGTACTCCTCGCTTGATTCGTCAGTTTCCGCCACACTTTATGGAATTAAACCTTTGGTTACCATCCGTGATCTTTAATTTTAATTTTAGAGAAATTACGTATACAGGTTCAAATATTGATCTGGAAATGGTGTATACTTTCAATATCCGAGTGTGTGATAACTTTTAGGGGATCTTTACACTCATTTAAAAAGTAACACACTGGTACATAATAATTTTATGTGAGTTAAGTAACATGTGGAAATAAATATCAAGCCATGTACCAACTGAGCATAAGGACTGTAATAGGGAATATTGGCATAAGGTCATGATGTTATGGACTGAAGGCTAATACTCTTTCGTACTACTTAAGCAGGCTGGCTTGGTCAGTTTATTATTTTTTGGGACTTGTTCCATGCTGGTTTCTTTTCTCTGTGAAATAGTTCTTCAAGTTACTTGAATTTTATGAGCTTTTTCTGTAACATTTTTTCAATTATGGAAGTATCTCAGACAGAATAGGCTACCTGTGCAAGGTGGGAAGATAGGCCAAACTTGCCTGCTTGGTTCGTTGAACAATACACAGGATTTGCCTCATTTTACCTATTTGTGTTGTGAGCTATTTCATGAAAAATGTTTTAGGAAACACTATCTCACTAACTCCACTTTAGTATAGTCTGTAGCATTCTGCCACTGGCTAAGAATTTGTTTAATATGATTTAGTGCAAGGAAAAGAGTATTTCAAATGTGCTGAGAACCATGGAATCTTTGTGCGTCAGTCCCAAATAGCAATTCTTCAGGATGCGCCAACCTCCCCATCACCTCCACGTGGATCCTCCACCCGCAGCAGCATTGGTGGGGGTACTTCCATTCCTTTACCATCATCAATGAGAAAAGAGAAGGTAAGAGTGATGCTATCATATTGTAGTAATGCTTAATCCTTCTGCACCCAAGATCTCATCAATAATTCTCCTTACTTTCTGTTGTATAATCCTTGGGATGATTATTTGAAGACTCTGGTATAGGATAAACTAAATATTTTTTTAATACATATTTTTATTTATTCTCATTACTTGTCTGCTTGATATTGTGTTTATGTTGTAAGGAGAAATTCTGTCTTGGTCACTCATGGGTATCAAAGGGTTAAAACCCCTTCCCCATTCAATTTACTGTTACTAGTTTATCTAATATAAATTGTGTATCAGCATGGCTTGTTTGTGTCTACAGTTGTATATTCATGTTCTCATGAATTTCTTCAGAAATAATTTGAATAAAGAATTAAAAACAGTTGTTCTACAATTCTGTCCTCAATTATACTAATAACTAAAAGTTGAAGTTTCCCTTCATAGTTAACTGGTTTTGTTAATTCACTTGGTGCTTGTATAATTACAGGCCCTGTTAGAATTTACTTGGTCTCTTAAAAACTATGGTATATTATCTCTGTTGCAGAAAAAAATTTGATCTGAGAAAAAGAAAAATTATACCTACTGGTAGATTGATTCCCATTTTCCTTTTTCTTACAGCCCTGATTAGGGTTAGGATTTCCTTGATGAAACCTTTTTTTTCATATATGACACTAAATCTTAGCAGCAACATATTCACTTATTAAACTCTTTACTGTTTCAGTCTTTTGGGTCAAGAGGTTCCTTAGAGAACGTTGGCAGCAGACCATCCCCACCTTCCTCCAGGTTGGCTACACCTAAAACCAGTACAACTACTGCTCCTGAGCCATCATTGGACAGTTCCCTAAGCAAGATTCCAGCAGCTGCTTCAACCCCTTTGCCATCAGGTCCAAGGAAGATGTCTTCTGGACCAGCGATATCAGCTGATGAGTATATGGCTCTTCAAAAGAAGGTTAGTCTTGGATAGGTGATTATGATGTATTGCAAAATAACTTGGTGTTTTTACTCCTTTTTAAGAATGGTTGGGATGAAATACATCATGGTACATTAATGCATGGGTTTTAATACATTTTGAATCATATAGCAGAAACTGCCGAGTACATCTGTATTTGCCTAACGAAAAGTTTAATATTGGGGAGTTTTGCTCGTTGCGAGCTCTTATTGAAACACCTGTTAATGCCTCATTTTGAGCATTTGTTTTCAATACTTTTCTCAGTTTTGCACATTACTTTAGAAACATAAGCTTTGGGAGCCCCACTTGCAATAAGTTTTGAATATCAAGAAGAAAATACCTGCATCAACACAGAACATGCAAGAGTCCACTAGCTGAGTGAATATAGTAACTTCCTTTCATTTTTCTCTGTGACATCTCTATTTTGGGTGGTTTTCATGTATCACCATCCCATCCAGTGTGAATAATTATATAGTTTTGTCCTTGGTCATTAAAAAGTCTGCTAGAAGTCTAAAGAATGAAATACCCACACCTTGAGCCCTGTTGCTTCAACCCATGGGACCAGATTGAAAATTTAATAATCTTTAGATTGTGTTTAAAATCTTAATTTGATAGAGTTTGTTATATCTGCATGCAGGTCTTAGAAAAAGAAAAGGCTGTTGTTGATTTGGAGGAGAAACTGGAGACCCTGAAGAGTAAAAGGCAAGAGGACAAGGCCAAAATGAAGGACCTGGAGAAATCAAGGATGCAATTAGAGCAGGTTTGTATAATATAATTTTCACCAGAAATGTTGCCTTTTTTATCAATAAACTCTAAGTACTGGTAATATAATTGATAAAATAACATAAAAATGGAGCAAAGCAGATCCTGTCCTGATGACATGGAAAACCTCTCTAAAAGGTAAATAGGAATAAATTGAATGCTGTTCTTTTAGGTGAGTCTTTATTGGTTTCACTACATGTACAATATAGTTGATACATCAACAGAGTGTGAAGAACCAATATGAAATACATATTAAACCATGTTAATGAAGGGTGTGGTAAATCTCCTCTGAATGATGGTATACATGTAATCAGTAATCAGTTGTCCATTGTGTGTTGAGGTCCTGTTTATTGAAAAAAAAAACACCTCAAGTCTCCCTGGAAAAGTGAAAAGATCAAAGAAAATCTATCTTTATATTTATTTTTTCAGCTTAGACCTGTGAAGTCAAAATTTACTGGAATAGATATTTACTAGGCATTAATTTCCTTCAGTGGATTTTTAACAATTTTGGCCCAAAAAATTTTTACAAATTTGATCAAATCTACCTATTTTTTCTAAATTCACTCCTTTGCAACCACAAATATAAAACGTCATAATCTTCCAGCTAACTTTGCAACAGTAAAACATGGCAATGACCAGGAAATGTGAAAGCACGAAAAGGTGAATATTAATGCCTTAGCATTTGCAAAAGGGGTGAAATTAAAAAGTTTAAACCACTTAACCTGTTTTAGTTAGAGGATAACTTTCTGTTTTGGAAAAAACAGTTTTCCAGCTGAGATTCCCTTTCAATTTAGGGTTTTAATACATGTTTGCTTCAACAGTGGATAATAAAGATGGCTCTATGTCCTTTATTTTCACAGCTTCGCACATAAAGTTTTTTCTCTCAGTCCACAGTATAATTTTATGCACATTGATATTGTATATTTTACTCTAAATTTTTCATCAGCCTTAGTGTCACTTGGAAACTGCTATGTTTGCTTAATCATTTAGCATCAATCAATGTTATTTTATTATGTTGGAATCTTGAATAATTCATATTTGAAATTTGAACTTCCACTTTTTTTCAATCCTTGATTTTCTGAAATATTAAATACTCCAAAGTAGTGGAGAAAGCTGTTGTAACTCCTTAGCTCCTATGAGAGACCAACACAGAACTTCTCCTCACAATATCAATAATCATCCAGAAGAGAAGTGATGAGAATAAAGAAAAGTAATAGTTAGGGGATTATAAGTTGATAAAATACCAAATTCACTTAACTACCATCATAAGAATTGTATGGTAGACAGTAAGGAGAATTACTAAGGAGATCTTGAGAGTGAAAGGGTTGAGTGGCATGTTTTATTAGATTCCAGCTGCCCTTTTGTCAATAAAGTCATCGTCAGTCAGTCTGATTGTACAAGTAAGAAGAATAATATCCCTTAGAGATAGGAAAATATGATTTTTAAAAACCTTCTTGAGGAAGCAGTGTAGCTGCATAACTGATACTTAAAATCCATCAAATGTTCCTCATTTTGATTATGTAATCATCAATACAGCTCTTTATTATTTCAGTACTATGATAATCCATTTAAGTCATAATTTATTTGAGTATTTTTTATAATTTAGATGCAAGAATATAAGACAAAATGGCAAGAAGCACAGAGGGATTTACAAGCTCAACTGAATACAGCAAAAAAGGTGACCTACTATATTTTGTCTTTCTTCTTATTTTATGACCACTTCACCTCTCAAACATTAATGCATGTTGAATATTATGATCATGAAACAGGTACATTTTATCATTATTTAACATGCTTGTGTTACAAAATGATATAAGTGTCTCACTTTAAGTGATCACTTAAAGATAGTTAAGAAAAGCTGTAAATGACCTCAAGGCCTCTCTGTGCCTGAGAATGAAAATGAGGTAGTGAGACTATTGGTGGATATGGAAACCAGTGTCCATTTCTTTTCTGTAGTGTGGTAAAATCTGTTGGCAGAATTCATGATTTTAGCTAGTAACCCATTCTGATGGTAGTAATCAGAGTAAGGCCAGCAGTGCTCTTGGATGTCGTAGCAAAGTATCAAACAAATGTCCCTTGATTTCCACAGCAAACAGAAAATATTGATTTGAAATTAAGATGACATGCAGCTAGGCCCTCTCCAATGCAATCTTTATACTTCAAACTCTTGGTTTAGACAATTGTTTTGCTGTTTAAAGTAGCTATGAGAAAAATATGGGCTTACTTGTAACTTTCTCTGTTGATCATGATATTGTTTAGTCTGTCATTTCTCTCTTGGGAGTCAACACAATTAAACTTGACTGTTTTACTCTGTGCTTTCCAAAATTTGTTGATTTGCTCTTGTGATTAAAATATCTATGATATGAGCTTAACTTTGACAGTTTGAGAGAAAGAGAATAGGGAGGGAAGGAATGGTTTAAGTTGAATTTTCATCCATGAAGATTACTTAACAACACTTTTTACATTACTAAATTAACTAATACTCATGATTAAGTTTAAATTTCCACTTACTTGCTTTGCATTTGTTAAAGGTTTTTTTTAAATTCATGTAAGGGAGTGCGAGCTGCTTTTCACTTGGATTAGGAAATTAAATTCAAGTTTCATTTTGTGTCTTTTGACAATTAAAGTGATTAACATCTTGATTTGGCTTCCCCTCACCACAATTTCCGGGGGGGCGTGTCATAAGCATTACTGATGAATTTCATCATGTACATGTATTTGCTGATTCTGAAGGGTTTAAATTAGGGTACCATTGGTGTCTATGGATTAAGCACAATAATGATCTCATACGAGAACAAAAAATGAAAAGGCAAAATTCAAATCTATTGTTTTTAATGCTGCACTAAATAGAAAACACAAGGCACAGAGTGAATGCAAATGCTGTTGTCTTCCAAGTGAGAAGTGAAATGCTGGTTCTAGTTTGGAACCAGATGATAAGATAATAATTATTTTTTGTGGCCTTTTAACAGGAGCTGAAAGAGATCACTGAGAATCGCCAAGAACACAGTGAAGAGTTGACAGAGCTTCAAGAAGCTGTCGAAATGGCAACTCTGGATAAAGAGATGGCTGAAGAAAGGGTATTCTTTTTACATTGAATTTGTTAGAACCACGTAATTAGATTGTTAGATACCAAACAGTTTTGAATTCTACAAATTAAGATAACTCCTTTTCACCAGAGACTACCAATTGACTTTTTTTTGTACTTTCTTAATCCTTTTGTAGCTATGGCTCAAAGGTCCAACATGCTTGTCACGTCTTAATGCATTAGTCCAATTTGCTAATTCAATCTACTTGATACCTTAGGGCAGATTAGATGAAATCAGGAATATGAGCCTTCCCAGTGCTTTTTTTTTCATAGTTAGCATAGTGAAGTTAATGTCAAGTGATACCTACAAATGGTTGACATGCATTCTGGTTTTATATAATGCACAATGTTTTGCAGCTGGAATCCCTTCAGCAAGAAAATGAGCAATTGAAGGACAAGTTGGAAGAAGTTACTCTTGACCTAGAAATTTTGAAGAATGAAGTTAGTGAAGGGGGTAAGATTATCTTCTCAATTGAATATTAATGAATTATCTGAAGTTCTAATTGAAATACTGATCAGAGTGATATCATCTTTCACATTCAACATTTATCTAAAGATTTATCCAAAGATTAACAATTTGCTGTTTACTTAGTATGGCACAGTAACTGATCTAATTTCATTAGGGCAAGGCAGGCCATATAGATGGGTAGTTAACCATGTTTAATATTGTTCTTTAAAAGGAATTGAGGGAGCTGCAGCTAATGCCCAAGTTAAACAACTTGAGCAACAAAACAGCAGGCTGAAGGAAGCAATCATGAGGTATTATCTCGTTTGTTGCTTAAAGTGAATACACCTAGGGCAGTTAATTGTATTTTCTGGCTTTCATGTCATGTTTTGACAAACCTAAAGATGAAGTGGAAAAAAGTGATGATAATGGATAAGGGCAATTTGCTTTGAAATCTGTTAAATATAGTGAAAAAGGTGTTTTTAAGCTAGAAATGCCATTATGCATGCTGCCTTTACTGCCCATTGACTACTGATACACATCTTTACTATGATTGTTTGGCTTGTATAACCTTAGACTCAAAGAGGTCCAAGCAAGTGATAAAGCAGAGATGCAGTCCTTGCAGAAACAAATCAAAGATCTGCAGAATGGAAACACAACACTTCAGAATGAAAGGGAAAAGCTCTCTGAAGCTTTACAGGTTAGTTCAGCTTGGAAAGTGATGATTGAGTTGTTCATGAACATGATATGTATTCATGTCAGTACACACAAACTGGATGTAAGCAGTTACATTACCCTACAGATTCCTTTCAATTAGATAGCTTCTGAATGAGTTGAAAGACAAATTATGTGGGAGGGCTGTTAAGGTTCCATTTCTGAGTTATGTTAGTGGTTAACAAAGCACAAAAATTAGAAGTTGCCATTGATAGGTTATGCTTTAAAATGGTGTGGTGATGCATTTTAAAAGGGGTACTTCTTTAAAATTCCAGGAAGCTGAAACAGCTTTGGCTGAACTCAAAGAACAGGTGTGTGTCTGTTGTCTCCTTTGTATTTTTAACAGTTCCTTTTTTTTCTATTTTTGATAGTATTGTTGGTGGCTTTTGTAGGACTGACAGTTTTGAAGTGCAATTTTTAATCAAAAATAAAAATTACCATACAATTTCATAAGTTGTTTGTATTTGTAAGAAGTACTTACTTCCTTTCTTTGCAACTTCCCTATTTGCTCTGTACAGGCCACTAGGTAGCCTAGTTACCTTACTTGTTGAACAGTTTGAAAAACAAAACAAAACAAAACAAAAAAAACCAGTAAAGAAAGGAAGAGAAATCCTAGCATTTTTCTCAAAGTCCATGGATGCCATGGATGACAAACAGTAGCTTCCTTTTGTGTCTGCTTCAAGAAAAGAATCATGGATAAAACTCATGGGAAATTTTCCTTTATCTGATTTTCCCAAGAGTTGCACATGTACCCTGGTCTCAGGGCACACACCAATAAATCCATTTCAGGCTTAGGCTTTTGAAAATAATTGCAGAGGTGTTTTAGGTACTCACTGTTTTTCAGTAGGTTGTTATCTGAGCTAATGAGGTAGTTTGACTGTAGTTTGCTTGTTTTAAAGATTGATGGTTTCCCTCTATTATCTATAAAAGGTTGATACTGCATTGGGAGCAGAGGAAATGGTGGAAACTCTCACTGATAAGAATTTGAGCCTGGAAGAAGAAATTGTCACCCTGAGGGAGAATGTGGCTGACTTGGTAAGTGACCTGTAACCATGAGTACAATCATTGTACTTAAGAGGTTTATCTAATTTTAACGGCATGAGAGCTTATTGAGTTATAAATCTTCAAATGAAAAGCAGATTAAGTTAGCTTGGTTAGTTTTTTTTATCAAAATTAAGTTAATCTGAAAATTATGCAATCCAATTGTAGGAAGCTCTCAGGGATTTGAATGAGGAACTTGAGGAAAATCACCTTCAAACTGAACATGACCTAAGAGAAGAACTGGAAATGAACAACAACAAAGTTCGTGAGGTAAAGTCATCCTTATGCTCACCTCCACACCTTAAAAGCTGTTTGCACTTCAATATCCTCTTGCTTCAGTTAGATATTAACAAAGTCACTTGATGGGAAGACACGGACTTTAAACTGTTCCTTTTAGAGATATAAATTAGCAAGATTTTATATTAATTGTTACATTTTTCATAGATGGAGCGAAAACTAGAGGCAGCTCAGGAAAGTATCGGAGATCATCAGCAAACAATTATTAAGTTCAGAGATCTGGTGGCTAAACTGCAGGTGTGGATTTTTATTTTGAAAGTTGAATAATTGAAATGTAGTGGTGTGAAACAAGGAGTGAAAAAAAAGTTTTCATTGATTGCTGTGATAAAGCTCCGCAGGATTTAAAAAAATAAAAATTCCGAATTGGTTGTTGTAATTTTTTTTGTTGTCATTAGGAAAATAACCGAGCTATGCAAGTTCAGCAAGAGGACTCAGAGAAACAAAAAGTCATTGACATTCCTTCACCTGAAATGATGGACTTTAAAGTTAAAGCTGCTGAGCTGAAGACCTATACCAAGGTACCTGTGTAAACTGCTTGCGAAACTATGCATATAAGACTGTTTATAAGACTCAAAAGTAAAAACTTTATTTAACTTTGTGTGTATCTAGTATTCTGGAAGTTTTATGTGAGGAGTAGGAAGATGGTTCTCCTTTTGATTTTGAAACTTTGTTGAAGATATTTATTACCAGTGACTGACTGGTATACATACATGTATGTACAATTGAACCTTTGTTAAGCAGTTACCCGCAGGGAATGGCAGTGTGACCACTTAATTCAGGTTGACTGCTTAATACAGATTCCACAGGATAGGGGTGTTAAAGAAAACACCATTTATCCCATAATTGACCTCTTAATGTACAAAAAAGTGGCTAAAAATACTACTGTTTTGAGAAGTAAACCTGGATTTACTTTTACTTGAAAGATTACTCGTAGTTATATTTGAGTGGTCCCACTTCAAACAGATGTTCAATGCAGATTGAAGACCATAGAAACAGGCTGTTTGGACTCAGGTGATAAAATCACTGTAATAGTAGCTAAGGTAAAAAATGTGCAGGACTTTGACAACTGACCACTTAATACAGGATGAATGCATAATAAAGGTTCGACTGTATAAACTATATTAAACTTGCACTGTTAATCTTAAATGTAAATATTTTTTTCACAGACTCTAGAGAATGAATTAAGAAAGTTTGATCTGCAGCAAGCAAATGAAAAGATAAAAATGCTCCATTCATTTCTGCCTGAGTCATTTGTAAGGAGAGGGGGTAAGATTTAATTTTCTAATAATTTTATTTTTAAAATACTAAATTAGTTAGTGAAAGAAATCAGAGCAAATTTATTTGAACTGTGCCATAAGGATTTAAAGGAAGGATGTTAATCACAGTTTATATCATGTATACTACATGTAATTCCTGTATGAAATTTATTCTTGAATGGTACAGTATATAAACATCTCATCTTTCTTTAGTAGTGCAGTGCTGTCACCAATTAATCCTAACTTGGATTTGTTTACATACTTCATATGAGTTCTGGGTAGTGAATCATACTGCAGCAAGAACTTTAATTTAGACTGCTGTTACTTGGGTTACTGTGAAGAACAGCTCACTTCTACTGACTTTTGACCAACTGTTGGCTGATAGCTGACTTACTGTTGGCCAACTGTCAGTCAATCATCACTTGATTGTCAGCCAACAGGTTTTTTCAGAGAGTTATTCTCTCAAATGACCATTATTTGAAGCCCTTAGATGTCAGCATCAAATTACCAGAATGCAAGGGACCCTCACTGCTATTTGCTCATGAATGTGCCATTAACTGGTACTCCATTCCTAATTGCTCCCATAACAGGCTTTCATTCCAACTTTTGAAAGCTAGTTTCTGTGGTGAACTTTTTTCTGAACAACTTTTGGTTTACAAGGAACTTGATGTTTTACATTGATGTGGTACAGTTTCTTTAAGAAATTGTTATGCTTTTCCTTTTCTCTTACACATCAGTCTTGGTGCTACATTTAGGTCTTTCAAATGGGCATTGGTTTTTATTTTCATTTATTAAAGATGAGGAGGTTTCAAGTGTTATTGAAGGCTTAACCTCCAGAAGGCACATTTTAAAATGTGTTAACACGTTATATTCTGTTGCAGGTGACAATGAGAGTGTCTTATTGCTGCTACTTATTCCACGTCTCAGTTTTAAGACTGAATTGTTGCAGTCTCAATTAAGACAAAAGGCAAGTCAGGCAATAATTTGAATTGCAAAATTTGTTTAATTTATCCAAATTTTAATTTTATGATAAATACTGAATGATTTCATGTTAAAGACTTGAGAATCTTAATCTTTGACTGAAGATATCTTTTATGTGAATCAATTCATGAGTATTCAAGTTGGATCAAATTTACAGTGAAACCTATTTCTTGCTGACCCAATGTAAGGTACTCATCCTGTAGCTACAGGAGAGTAGCCCATCTAGCAAACTTGCTGCTCCTATATCTGCTGTAAAAGGAACTTGTTCTCAGTAGACACCTCTATTTAGTGGACACGGAAACAAAACCAGTATCAAGAAGGCAGCTGTATTTATGCGTCCAGTCTGTAATTTAACACAGTGTAGAAATACATTGGTCACTATTTAAAACGTGTATTCTGGGCATTTAGGGTTACTCTACATCTGAAAATGGTCAAATTTGAAAGGGTGATGATAAGTCTAAACAATAAGTCTTACCGGCAAGATTTTAGTGCTGAAGGTCTAGTGTGTACTGTCAGACCTCTTGTAGGACCTTTTACCCGCTTGGTTTTCCCAAGGTCTCAAACTATCTTGTGGACAAAGAAACGCTCATGCCACAGTGCCACCTGCTTGGAGGCTCCATAAAGTCAAACTGTGAAAGCACATAGTATATCCACGGCCTTGTTTGTCCTTAAGCAATTTACAATTATAGAGAAATTTACATAAAATTGAATGAGGCTGACACCAGTAAAAGTCTTGCAGGTAACCTCTTAATACTAAAAATTGTTTTTTATAAATATAGTATGAGATCACAGAATGTCTCGAGGATCCTGCCAAGATTCAAGGTGAAACTGAGGAAGGACTAAGTTTTGCTTCTGGACTCATTTACCGGTTGGCAGTTCTCCAAGCAGTTGTAAAGAATATTGAAAGGTAACTATAATGATGATATCACTTGAGGGGAAAAATTCAGCTCTAGTCTTTTGGAAAACTGACATTTTCTCCACAAGTCATTGCACATCAGTTATGTTGTTATGAAATGTAATCTGTTCATGTGCATTTGCTTGCAGAGCTCTTGATCAGTGTGATGCTGGTTTGTTCAACAAACTAGTTGGTATATACCCTGAACTAGCAGCACACGAGAGGGCTGTAGATGGACTTATTGACTTTTTTAAGAAAGACCAGGTACATTTTAAACTCTAAGTTTTTGCAATGTTAATGCTGATGGTTTCTTTCTTTCATTTTAAGGAAATATGTATATGTATTTAAATTAATTTTGCTATCTACTTGCTTTAGTTAGATGATACAGTTGCCATGGAACCCTTGGAGAAGGCAATTCATTACTATACTGTGAGTAATGGGACATTTTGTTTTGTGTAATTGGAATGAAGTGTTCATGAAAATGTTCAACACGAGTGTACTGTTTGAGGGAATTATCTTTGTTTTCAGACTATGGTTCGGTTCCACTTGGCTGGTAACCCTGTGTCACATTCTGAGTTCTTGTCCGACGAATTGAAGATCTTCACTGCTGGAACAGAAGGTGCTACCATAGAGATTGAGAGACTGAAGCAGTATAGTAAGGTATGTGATAGTCGTTAGACAATGAGCAGCTGCATAAAAAAGGCAGATAAGTTGCTTTTTGGAAGCTACCCCCCCCCCCCCCACTCCTCTCCTTTACTTTTCTGACTCTCCCTCTTGTCTGCCTTTTGCTCACCTTCTCTCGTCTTTTCTTGTTGAACTAGAGCAACAGGAGTGAAGTCTTTGTCTTTCAAGTCCTCTCAATTTCGTGAATTTATTATGGCTTTTTCGTTATTTTGGTAGGATTGTGATGAAGGAAGTGCCTTTGGTGAACTTGTTCAAGAAATGGAACTCAGAAACGTGGAAATTCAGCAGCTTTGCAGAAAGGTTAAAAAAGAATCGTCTCTTGTTTCATACAGAGTATGAGATTCCAATAGTAGGGAATAATCCCAAAATATCCTTAAACATCAAGTGGAGATGGCTATTCTCCTACGTTGGTGTTTTGGCTGAAGCAAGAGTTCACCTTAAATCCGACTGCTCATTATTCCTACTCACTTTGGTCATTTTCTTTTATGTTAGTTCTCAGAATTTGGTTTAAAGTAATGATTGTGTTCCTAGGTGGATTATTTTGTTTATCATAAACACGTTTCTGTTTGCCAATACTCAATGGCTCGTCTCCCATAGCTACTAGCTACAAGTCACTGGCGTCTAAACCAAGTTTTTTTGTTTGTTTGTTTGTTTGTTTTTTATTCCAGATCAAAAGAAGAATGCCAGAAGATCAGAAAAGTACCCTGTCGTTTTCTGATAAGGTGTGTGGCCGGCTGCCTCTGACTACCCTCAGTAGTACTTATGTGAAATGCATGTTATTACAGTCAAACCCGTATTAGGCGGCTATATTAAGCGGTCACCCTGTATTAAGCACTCGGGTTTCAAAGTCCCGAAATTTTTACCCCTCCCCCCCCCCCCATTACTATAATTTTCACCTCTATTGAGCGTTCCTGATCACTCTTTACCAAGTCCCAACGGCCTGCTCTAAGTGAATTTTTTTCAGTACACCAAGGAAAAAATTTTAACTATTGAACAGCAATGGTATTCGTCAGAGTTACGTAGTAAACATTTCATTTCTCTTAAGATTCAAGAGTCGCTGATTGAATGCGCCAGGCAACAGAATTTGGAGCTGAAATTCTGCCAGGAACTTACTGCAGCTGTTACACAGAAAGCCTCTAGTCTAGGTGGTAAGTTCTGATAACCTCAGTGATAAATACCTTTCATGGAAGTTCGTGATTAACTGCAATCAGTTCGAATGATGATTCTGGAACAATGCAAATTGTGCACCCAATCAACGTTCTTTTGATTTCAACGTCTATTAAGTGAACCCCTTTCGAAAATGTACAGTGGAGTCTTTCGAATTCTTTGGTCGTTTTTGATACTAAAAAAGAATTAAGATGGATACTTATTTAAGACACAAAGAGGAATGATATCAATTAAGACCGTTCATCAAGAGGTAAGTACTGAATATGATCGCATGGAGCGCAGGTTTTTCCAACACTGTACTCCGGGGTCACACTATCCATCAACTTTTAATCGAGTGTCGAAAGAAGTCTTTGATTGCTTTGGGTTCGCTTTATTTACTTTGAATTCTCATGGGCCCCTTGTGGTATTTTCCTCTTATCTGATTCGCTGTTGTGACTTCTTTTGTGATGATTTTACGAATCTGGATCGTAATGCGCTTAGTGTAGGAAGGGTTTTTATGTTGTATTTGAATGCAACCATCTTGTGGTAGCAAGAGGGGTGCATTCGAAGCGATGTAGTGTCGATTGGAGTTTCATTTACTGATTTTTAGTATTTTTTTTTTGTTTTTACCCTTGTAGACAATGAAAACTTACTGAGTGGTCAACTTGACGAGTTGGCCAGTGATGTGGCCGTGCTGGTGTTTGAGACGGATGAAGTTCCGTGTAAAGATATAGTCAGGTCAGTCAAATACAGGTTTTTAGAGTCGAACACAAAGTGAATCATTTTATTTTAAGGTTTGGTAGTCCTTCTAACATCACCTTAATCCCAACTGTGAAGCTGTCTAAGAGTAATGTGTTCTTATTGCTCATCCGAGGCAATTGCGTTTTTCTTGTTTCTTGTTTTTCTTTCAGTCAAACTTTCCATGAAGTCATTTCTTTCCTATACTCATTTGTGACCAAAATACAAGAAGGCGATTATGATGCTGAACCTAAAGAAGAGTCCAAGGTGTGTTATGTGTGAAGCAAACTGTTCTCGGATTTTGTTAGCGGCATCTTCACATGTGCCTGAGTGTAGCTTGGGTTAAGCCTTCACCTTTTTTACTCAGATTCAAAGAAGAACGGAGTAACGGAAGCATTTTATATGTCGACTTTCTCTCTCGCATATCATAGTTCTAGGGTTAAACCTTGTATTGTGATCTTGGCAGTCTTCTTTGTTAGTTCTATCTTCAGCCAGTTTTTAAGTTCTTCGCTTTCAGGAGTGACCCAAAAGTTACTTATCTTTTAAATTTCTCGAAATGTAAGGAGGGAAAAGATGAATATCAACCAGAGGTTACAGTTCGATTCAACACTAAATTCTTAGTGCTTAAATAATGATTATGTGTCGCAGAAGTGCGGGTAGTTGGACCGAATGGGTTAGCGTTCGCAACTTACTCCAGTCACGCAAAGTCATCCGCACTCTCGTTTTGTATATTATGGTAAACTTTAGGGTTCAACTGTTTATTTGTTGGACTTACAGTGTCTGAATTTGCATAGCAGGCGCTGGGATTGTTAGAGTGCCGCGTTTTTTGGCATAAAATGATGAGCTTGCGCAGACCGTTTCAATTCGTGGGACAGATTTCCCAGTTTCTAGGTTGTCTGTTCAATAGAGGTTCCGCTGTCTAGCACTGTGACATAACACACAGCTCTTTTGTTTGTGGTTTAGGCGGATCCTCCCTATCTTCAGCGCGCAAAGACTTTTAAGTCAGAATTATTTGATTCGGCCGGCGTGGAAGAGAAACTCCTTCAGAAGGAAAACGAGTTCATGGACCTTAAGAAAAATATGAAACTGAAGGTACAGTTGCATAGAGATCATCTTCCTATTGGAACTTCCTTCTTTGTTAATCAGAGAAAAAGTATGTTGGAAGAGTACAAAGAGAATGTAATCTCTTGAAGAGTTTTTATTTTCAAGTTGGTTAACGAGATTTTAAATTAGTAAGTTAAATGAAGGCATTTATACAGGGGGTGGCTTGGTTCGATTCCTAGCGACAGTAATCTTCTGAATTAGCACCTTGTATACTAAGGTATACAGCGATGAGTGAGTACTATGAACATGTTAGTCAAGGGTCCTATAATTTCACTGTTCTTCCTCCCTTTGGTCAGAACGAGGAATTGAGTCAGGCTAATATTAGGATTGGATTATTGGAGAAACGTCTCGAAAACATCAACAAAGAGGTGAGAGTGGTCCTTTTCCCCTGAATACTCTTTTTCTGATTCTGATAGGCAGTTTGCAGTCATGTCTCTCCTGGGAAATAAAGTCACCGTTTTACAGGCTAACCACAATAAACCTTTGTCGCGGGTTGTGTAATCATTTTGGTTTCAAATTACGATGAAGCTTTGATTTTTTTATTGACTTAGTAGCAATGCTGGCCAGTGTAAGACTATTTTCATCGACAGAAAGAGTATCAATCGAATAGTTAACACATAGTCATCGAAGTAGAGGTAAATATCCACCACGTTTTTAGACGCTGTGGTGAATAATTGTTTTAGTATACACCACACAGAAATAAATATTAATTAATTTCTGTCAATTTACCGAAAAATGGACGGAAACTAAAGTTGATTCTTGACGCGCGATTTTGTCTTTTTGGCTGCTCGAAGGTGAATAGTACTTGCTTATCACTTCCGAACAAGCCAATCAGCGTGCGCGGAGAGCACTATTCATCTGTGTGGTACAATACTAATACTAGGTTTCTTAAACATAGGTCGCCTTCTTTCGAGTTGACCGTAATAACAGGAAAAAAACGCAAGCCAACTTTTGTTTTATTACATGTTTAGGCTGATGCACGAGTCGAAGCTGCAAATCGAAAAATGGAGCAATCTACGGAGGACTTTGCAAGAAAGGAAAAGTAAGTCCTAAAGGCTGCTAACAATTCCCCTTAGATGTTTATGTCTGACTACGTCAGCTCTAAAGTTCACGTCGTTGTTTTCTAAATGTGACAATTTCATAGGATGGGAGGGGTTCGAGAGGGGAGCTTTAATTCTGCTACGTCATCTTTTCAGCTACCTTGGACTGCATTGCTACTTGGAGAAATTATTTGTGGTAATTTTCCACCAACTTTATGTTTATGTCAAGAACAAACCATTGTCGACATTTTCGATGCCTTTGCCAATAGGAAAATCATTCATATACACAAATAAAACTCATTCTCAAAATAAAGCTTTTGCGCTTGGCTTCACTTGGAAAGTGAGGGTTTTTGTGACTCGAAAAATAGCCTATTGAAATAAACACTGTACTCTGGTAGTCGTGCACTAGCATAACGGCTGAAGTGGTGTCAGTAAATCGTCTATGCGTAACCAATATTTTGTTATTTTATTCTTTTCGTAGGGAATTCGAAGAAACTATGGATGCTCTCCAGAACGACATTGAAACCTTGGAGAAGGAGAAGGGTGACATGAAGAGACGTTTAGATGCTTACTCAAAGAAGTCCCTTCTGGCCGATCTTGCGCGCCATGCCACATCATCATCTAGCATCGCGGCTGTTGTAGCAGGTACGGAGATTCATGCTGACATGATATCCTTACAACTTTGAAAGATGTCTGGAAAACTCTTCTTGTCTTTTTTTTTTTTTACCTGCCTGTGGTATAAAAAAGAGATCGAAAGAAAGTGAGAAGTTTGAGAGAGAGTTTTTTTTTTAAGAGCAATTTTCATTTGAGGGTCAAAAGTAATGTAATTAGTTTGATTTAGTTCACTCCATGATTGGTCTAGAGAACTCTTGTCACTTGCCCAGCCAGTGAGAGTTAAAACAATAACTGCAAGTGCGGGCTGTTCGAAGTGAATTAAATCATGACAATTTATGGTGGAAACTTTCAATTTTTTCTCTCAAGAATAAATTGTAAGTTGCTGCTTTACCCTAGTTAAAGACATTGCTCTTCGACTTAAGTAAACAGTGATGGCGTACAGAGACGAGAAAAGCTTGGCAGAAGTTATTTTTAATGGGGATAAGTTTCTAAAGAAATTGTGGCACTGCGTCGTTGGGTGGTATTGCAATATCAACTGAGTTTACATTGTAAAGCCCTTTGAGGGATTATCGTGGGGGCCGTGACTTTACTGGCCGCCATGCAATTATAGTGCCCGCACTTTTTTGCTGTTTTATTTATGGAATGTTGCGTTTCCATCTTCTAATTGTTTGTTATTCTTTGTTCCTTTTCTATCAGGTGCGGCTGCTGCTAAGGGCGGCGGAGGCTCTCCTCTACGGGGTAGCCCAGGGGCGGGTCAACAGCCGGTACAAGTGGTAATAAAGGATTCACCTATAATACTTGCTCAGGTAAACCATTTGCCACAGAACACGACAGTGCTTGTAAGTCGCAACGGACGGTACTACAACCGTCAGGAGCGATTGAAAGTTTAGTTACATTGTTGTTACTCTTAGAGTTGCATCGAAGACTGTGTTAAGCAAGAAGTCAGAAAGAGCTAGCGCAATGCGCAAATTGATTTCGTCTTGTTTGCTATGGGTGTCACCTATCTGTGCATTGGGTCATTCGCGTGACTTAAAATATTCGCCGGCTGAAAAGTGTGAACTTAGGTGAAGTAACGGTGCGCAATGCAAAATAAAGTATTGCCCTAAGATGTAATTGTGTCGGGCACCTTTTTCTTATCAGCTTTTGATTTTTTCTTTCTAGCCTCTTATAACCTTTGTAACTTACGTAACCTGCTTTGGCTTGAAATATTTTGTGTGCGTCCTGTTAGACGCTGTGTCAAAGTTAGTTGGTCTCTTTTGTGTTGATTGGTTTGATTTTTTTTTTCCATTCAGGTTGACTCACTTAAAATTGCCTTGAAGCATCTAAGAAACGAAAATATCCGTCTTAAGAGTCAGCATATGAAGGTATGGTGGCCAGTGCATTTAACTCTCTCTTCTTACTATTATAAGTATACCCAGCCCTCTGTTTCGCTCGAATGGTGACATTTTTTTCTTTAGGAGCAATTAGATGGGTTGCCAAAAATATACATACCACCGAGAATTCAGCCTCGCACTGAGCCTTTGGAGCAACAGACTGACGAGACAGCGGATAAAGAACAAAAGGAGAAGGAATTAGTACCAAGCCTTAACACTGTTACAAGGGAAACTAACAAATTACTCGAGGTATGAACAGAATCCACGCGACAACGACCTCGCTTTAACGGGCAGGCATTATTGAATTAAAGACGAACTTTGAACCGCGAATTATCATTTGGCTCCTTGAGTAGAAGAGATGAAACGAATCCTGTAAACTGATTGGTCGAGCATATCTTGCCCGCTCGCGGTTGGTCATATGACGCAAACTTTAATTACCAAGCGCATTGTGCGCGTCCTCATTTTTCTTCAATCAATATTCCCTTCTCCCTTCCCTTTGAAAAGCGGTCATAAACGCCAACATTCAGCCATTGTGATCTCACACTTCGTTTAACGCATTTGCATTTCCCTGGCTTCCTCGTCCATCTTCAAACTGATTTCTACGCTAACTTAACAGGGTAACAACAATAGTGGCAATGGTAACAGTTTAATATTTAAACTCCCAAAATCTGATCGTTGATTCTCCCCTACAGCTGCCACACATTTCCTAGCAAATTAGTTGCGAGAATTTGGTGTTAGATCAAGATAACAAATTTCTACCTGATAAGTTTGAGTTTTCTCATAACCTGTTAGCTGGATAATGTATGGATGTCATAGGGAGAAGTTACATTTTAATCACTTCTGGGAGTTAAAGGGTTAAGAAATAACAACTAAAACAAGGCAAGCTAAGAGAAATTGTCGGCTGCATCGATCAGGCCTGTATTTCTAGTTATTTATGTGATTTTCGTTTCTCTCACTGCAAGAACTTGCAAAAGATGAGTGCCTTTCCAAAAGTGGTTGACATTTCTCACAGGAAATCAGGTACCTGAAACGTTATGTAGCGAATACTTATATTTGTATGTAGCACTTTTTTATCTTTGAACTGGCGGAGTAGCAGTATACCTTATTGCTAGTACTATTAAAGGAAGATGGAAATTAAATTTTAGTCTCATAAATTCTAATAACCGGAAACATTAGGAAAGTATTTCTTTAGAAGGATTTGAAATGATTAGAAAGTTATACTTGTACGAGGAAATACAAATTTGCTCTTGTAGCATTGCACTTTATCTATGGATTACCCCTCGTTTATCATCTGTTGCACCAACTGTCTTAATTTAAGGCTGAGCACGAGACCTCATGCCTCAGCAAGGTTGTATATTTGTAGCAAAGTTGGCGGAAAACATTATTCTGAACCTTAGAAGTATGGTTGATAAGTTTACTTAGCTATTTGTCTCAGTAACTGAACTTGTTTTCCTCACAAATAGGGTCAGTTCCTGCACTAAGCAAAATGACTCCCGCTAACCATTTGGTAGAGCGAACAGCTATTTTGCGCGATCTCAAGCGACAAAAAGAAGAGGTGAGTGCAGTCTTTTTCCTATTCTGTCCGTAATTGACGTTTTAGAATAAAAGCATTTTAAATTCGTTAATGATGGAAGGGTTTTGTTAGTTGTGTAAAAAAATTTCTTTTCTTTTCAGCTCCAAGGGAAAATTCAGAAGTTAATTGCAGCAGAATATCCAGGAGGAACATGTCAAAGTTCTTTTTCATCTTTCTTATCTCCGACTTTTTCCAAGGTATTGTCAGTTTTTTACCTGGATTTCTTTCTCTTTCGTAACCATGCATGATCACAGACCTCTTCATCGAGCAATTTTATTGGCTCGTTCTTTCGTTGCTTCGGCTTGATCTTTCTTCTGACTTCGATCTTGACTGTGTTCGTTCGGTCGGTCGGTTCATCGATGTAATTACTTTCGATATTTGCTTGGTTTGACTTTTTTTTGGTTTGATCATTCTTTGGTGCGTCTGGGCCTGTTCTCGCGCTTTCGTTCGCTCTCGCGTAAGCTGATGCGATCATTTGGGCGATGGCAGGTTATTTCTCTATTTACTGTATGTGTTTTTAATTTCCTTTTTTTTTTTTTCCTTTCCCCTGTAATACAGGTTCTACAAGAGAAAGCTCAGGCCCCTCAGCTGGGAAGAGTCACCATTCCTGTGCCATCGAGCACCAAATCCAACAAATATTGCGTCACCTTGAAACCACAGGAATTCAGAACACTTCACACTGTATTTGTCAGTTAGAAACGAAAATGTGTACATAAATTATAAAATCTTAGACAGAATAATGTTATATTTAGTAGTCGGAGGTGGAGAAATGAGTGGTTTCGCCTTGATCAGCTGTGACAGCCAGGGTACAACCGACTTACCGAAACTTAGCGAAAAGTGCTGTGAGTCTCAAGGCCTACTTTGAAATTCTTGCCACATGTTGCCGCACATTTTCTTTTGTGCTGTTTTTGAGATTGCAGTACAGTCGCCGACTCTCGCCCTGCGGGCACCTCGCTATTACGGACACCCCACCATTTGCGGACAAGAGCAGTTAGCAAGGCCGCGTTAGAAACCTTGTCCAATTCACTTCGCTTATAAGAGAGCGTGATATATCAATTAAGAAACTACTGAACATTATTTCTGTTACCTTCACGGATAATATTGACTTTTCAAGAGAGGAAGATGACAACAACAACAACAACGAAAGCAATTAAAACAAAAATTGTCTTAAAAAAAAGCTTAAATTAAACGAGAACAGCGTTATATGATAAGATGTAAAATTTTATAACGATAACGGGAAGGTCTCCGCTGCTTCGTTTCCAGGAACACGAGATGCTCGTATTCTTGGATGTAATTATTTAGAATTGACCCGTTTGCAGTGAACGGCAGCAAATGGAAGAAATCAGGCCTCGAGTCTCTCGGAGACTTTTTGAGGGTTAGGAAATAAAGAAAAAGTAAATATATTAAGAACTGATTACCGTTGTCTGATTGAGTTTTGTTTGAAACAAGTTTGTTCTTTGGAGAGTAGATCCTTGTTTCAATCCTTCATCCCTTTTTTTCTTAGCTATGCTGAAATACTCAAATCTGATTGGTTAAATAGCGATGCATCGTATTACTTCCAGAGGTTTCGCGCCAAAAATGCACTTGCACGACGTGCCGTCGCAACTGGCTGTCTATTTCTTCCTAACTTTTTCAGAAAGGTCGTTGAGCGTCGTAATCGGACTTTTATCTCGGAAAATCAAAGGTAGGGTGAGACCATAGAGTTTTAATTATTGTGCTGAGTAAGTGTTTATATCAAGATGGAGAGGTTACCTCGAGCGTCATGCGTGTTTTCTTAATTTTTGTTTTGTTTTGTTTTTTTTTTTACGATCCCTTTGGAATTTTGGTGAAATATTGTGATGACAAATAAGAGGAGAAACGTTCGTAAAGTTGAAATATATCGTAGTTACTAAAACAAGGAATGACCTTAAATGAACGTAAGTGACTTCTAAAATGATCTAAAATGACCCTGAGTGATGTGCACAATGACTTAAAATGAAAAAAAAAAAACCCTAAAACACAGGCGTCCCCAAGCTCACCGGAGACCACAACGGACACACAAGATGTAAGTTAGTCCTATTTGATTTTATGTGTAAAATGTTCTTATTTCGAAATATTTTATCGTCGTAAATCGACCGTATTTCGTTCCCTATATTTTCCCTATAACGTGTTCAAATTCTTAACGGGATCTTCTTCTAACCCTAACACCGAGTCATAAATTAATCGTTTGTTTTTTCTCAAGAAGTGAGCTGGGGACGCCTGTGCCTAAAAAATAACTGACTGATGTCTAAAGTAACCAAAAATGACGTTTAAGTCTAGCCATAGAGACCACAATAGTAGCTGGTAGTAGCACAATAAGCTAAGGTGTTCGAAGTGATCTAACGTGGAATACTACTAAGTGAAACCAACAAGGTAAGCACTCAGCTCGCACATTCAATTCTGTTTCACTGTTGTACATCACTGGCAGTTACTATTTTAAATTGTTCCAGTAAAGCTTAAATGTCATTTTACGTCATTTAAGTCATTGTAGGTCATTTTTGATCATTTTAGGTCAAGACATCAGTCAAGGTTACATTTTAGGTCATCTTAGACATCACTTAAGGTCATTTTTCGTCATTTTAGACATCACTTAAGGTCATTTTTGGTCATTTCAGGAATCACTCAAGGTCATTTGAGGTCATTTTAAGTCATTCCTTGTTTTAGGAACTACCAGAAATATCTTTAAAATCGCGTTGTGAAAATTTAAGCATCTTTTTTTTCGTCGCACAAATGAACGCCAACGAAGGAGGATATCGTCGCTCGTATACCATAAGTCACGACAGTGTTTTTACTGATATATAGTTGATAAAGGTCTGGATCCGAATATGTTAAACAGACTTTTTCTGGGCTGTGACTAAAAGTGGGACGGGGACGTGGGACTGGGACTCGGGGACGTGGGACTGGGACTCGGGGACGTGGAACTCGGGGACGTGATAAACAAACAACACCTGAATTTGTAAAGTATAATTTTCGGTAGTCTCGAGGAAGGTGTAATATGCTGGAGAGCTTGTGGGGTGACTCTACATCGAAGGCGTTCGTCGAAGGTAAGAGTATACGGTAATTTTGATCGGCGGGGAAATAATGAAACCTGCGAATATTGCGAAAGCCCGTGAGATGATGACATCTAAAAACTGAAGGCAATTTTTGAATAAGACACTAGAATGCGTAATGATGGCGGCGACCAATCAATCTTCTTTAAACAAATCGGAGATTGACTTCCTTGAGGAAAACCTTGAAAATTGTTCTGTTGAAAACCGGTACTTCGTGGGTTATTTCGATGGAAAGAGATGAGTTCGAGGATATGCTCGAGAGTTTTCCTCTTAGTAGTTCCACATGCTTTGTAAAGAAGGCCTTGCACTCAAAGGACTTAAATCACAAGAGGTTTTTGAAAAATGGTGGGCAGTTTCTTTTATTTTTATCTGAATTTTTGCTTTATCAATAAAGTGTGGGCCTCGCAGAGACTCTATCTTTTGAAGGCAATTTTGTAAAAACTTACGCAATGCACCGGGCGGAAAAGTGTTGAAATATTTAAAGGTATTCAGTCATATAAAGGAAAGCACTTGGAAAACACTCTAAGTGCGTAATCTAGTATACCGAAATACTTTTTCAAATTATGCATTTGCAGCGTCTCCCGTCTTTGAACACAATGGTGATAATGTACCGATCCAATTTTTCGGTAAACCGTTTACCATCTAAGCAATGAAATTCGGCATTGCCTCCACACACCAACAAAGATGAGAATTCCTTTTGAAAACAGTGTTTGAAATATAATAAAACGTACCAGTAGCATTCGATTTTTGCATAACCCGCGAAACTGTTTTAACTTTTTTAGGTATTTTAGTGGAGGAATCCATCGAACTTTTCGCATATTGAGGAAACAAAATCAGGAAGGTCATTTACATCCATTTACTTCAGAATTCCCCATAAATGTAGGGTGTATACAATTCCTGAAATTCCCGTTCGTTATTTCACGAATCATTTGACGTTTCAGTGTTGACAAATTTTTCGTATTACGTAAGTAAAAAACATTGAACTTCTCTCAACGGACTCAACACTGCAAGGAGAATCTTTCTCATAATTTACTTTTTAAGAGACGAAGTTACCGTCTAAAATTCAAACGTTACTGTTAGGCTTATTGGCGCATTGATAACAAAATCAAGAAACTGCTGCAGGACCTCAAGGCTCATTTGTTCAGGGCGACCTTGTACATCTCAGGTTTGAATTTTTCGTGAGAACAAGTGCTGAAGCCTACATAACCTATTTTGAATTTAATCGCTGAACTATAAACTTGTGTGTTCGACCCTCGACGAACGCCTCCGCAATAACGTCACCCGAGCTTGTCAGTAGTAGCCGATGATTTCCAGCGTCCATGATTCGGCCGGATATGTTTTCTTGTCTGTTTGACCGTAAGAACTCTGAGTACAGAATAGTTTCAACGCAAGGGGTTTTAAACATCGTGAGCAGCCATGGAGGACTTTCCTGTTAAGTAACTGTGTTTTCTTCCTTATTCTTTTTTAGCAAGGATAAGGCACCGATGTTTCAAGACCCCCTGCGTTGAAACTATTCTGTACCCAGAGTTCTCACGGTCAAATAAGCAAGCAAAAATGTCCGGCCGAACCATGGACGCTGAAAACCATCGGCTACTACTAACAAGCTCTCCAGCATAAAATAGCTTTCATGAGACCACCGAAAATTATATTCTACAAATTCAGCGCAAATGTTAGGTGTTGTTTGTTTATCACGTCCCCGATTCCCCGCGTGTCCCCGAGTCCCACGACCCCGAGTCCCACGACCCCGAGTCCCACGACCCCGAGTCCCACGACCCCGAGTCCCACGACCCCGAGTCCCATGACCCCGAGTCTCACGACCCCGAGTCCCGCGTCCCCGTCCCACTTTTAGTCACAGCCCTTTTCCTGCCCGTCACACAACGCTTTTCCTTACGTGTTGTTCTTCATAAAACCCTAAGTACCCTTATTTACTCTATAGGGATAAAGTTGATGAATAGTCTTCTCTAGTATTTCTGCAATTAAAGCGTGAAGAACTATCTGCACAAAGGTAACAATGTTTCGCGTTGTGTGTCGCCGCCTCTGGGTGAACAGGCGCTGTCAAGCGGGTATCAATTGCCGTTTTGAAGTCACTCAAAGGTTCTTCACCAGTGAAGACAGCCCCATTGAAGCTGAGGGTTACAGGGACTTGCAAGTTCTTACGAAACATCAAAAACAGCAAGTGAGTGCATCCATTCGACTTATTTGTATATGCGAAACGGGTGTTGGGAAACCTGGATGTTACCAATTGGAAGACTAGTGTTACTTTGGGCGAGTTGGGTACATTGGTCAAAATTGGCGTGGTTTTAATATTTACAACTTCATAAATGCAACCAACGTCGCACCTTGTGTTTATTCCAGGAACCATGCACGTTGTATCTGAAGGACATTCACCTGCGTTTGTGACCTTTAAGAGCCAGACGTTTTTTTCTAAAATCCTATCTCGAATGTTAACTTAAGCAATGTCTTGGTTAATTCAGTGATATCCAAACAAAGTCCCTTGGGCATAGAGGCCACTTTTAAGTGTGTTTTAAAATTTGTCTAAATAAATGGATCAATGATCTGAAAGTTTGTTGATTAAGTTTAATTATCAATTACTAATATTGCTAGTATGAAAGACTTGGGTATCTAGTGGTTCCAGATGTCTTCAGCAAGGACCATATTGAACAAATGAGGAAAGAGTTGGATGGATATATTGAACGGCAAGTAATAAAATTTGTCTCTTTATTCCAAGGAAGTGCATGTTCTGTAAAAGACCAGAGACATTAATGTACCTGACACATGAATGTTTCCTGGGCAACCATTGTTGTAATGATTTAAATTTAGAGTGACAAACTACCCAAAAGACCACTATCATAAATAGTGGGTCCAATTATTAATCTTCTGTATGCATATAATGTAGACTTTTGCTAAAGTGTAAGACTAAAAAGGCTAAAAAGGCCAACATCAACAAGGTATATTATTTGTTTAGAGGAAAACATGTTCTGACTTCCTCTTTTTATATCTTCTCCAGTTCTCGCAAACTCAAACAAACAAATCATTTGTTTGTTCTGGACCGACAGCATACTGAAAATAAGCCTATCCTACTAAGGCTTCGTTGTATTTCAAATCACAGCAAAATTTTCCTGGACACAATTTGTGATGCTAAGTTGGTGGAAATTACATCTGATCTGGTAAGGCAGAGTCAACCTCATGAAAATTTACACAAATTATTTTCATAATATTTGATCACTTATTACAATTGCTCAAGCTGTAGTAATGTGGAAACTGTTCTCCACTGAACAGTGAAACATTAAACCAACTGGTCAAAGAGTTGTCAGAAAAGTTGCACATTAATCTGACATAAATTTTTGTGTGTAGTCAGACCTTAAAATTTTAATCTGCCTGTTTGTGAATGATCAACTGACTCAAACTCCAAAAGGAAACACTCTAAGATAGTTAAAAGGAGCAGGCATTTGAGCTGGAGTCAAAATAAACTATGAAAAATATGACATTTAAGAAAGATATCAATTTGAGTTCTAGCGAGCAAGAGGGTTTCAAATAACAAAGTTTGAAATAGCAAGGTTAACCAATTTAACTATAAAAATCATAATTTATTTTTTTTGTGTGTGAAATCACTTCTGTTTCAATTTATGTTTAGTATATGCCAGTTATGTGATTTCTAAGAAAGTTGTTGTTTTCCCCTGTTTAAGATTGGTCCATCAGTGCGTTACATAAATCAAGAGAAAGTCAACTTGAAACCACCAGAAAGTAGTACCTCAGTTATCAGATGGCATCAGGATTGGGCATTTTTCCCCTATACAAATGATAGTCTGGTCACTGTTTGCATAGCCATTGATGACTCTACCAAGGAGAATGGTAAGCTCTCTGATGAGCCATTCTTTCTCAATAGGGCAGAGGTATATACTGCCTTAAAAATAAGTTGAAAATGTGGTTATTCCAAAACAGAGCTACCTATTAAACTTAAGTATTGTGATCAACAGATTCTATTCATGGAAGAAAATAATAAGAAACTATGTGTGGAATGATTCTGATCAATGCATGTTTCTGATAAAAAATTTAATTGTACCACTGATTTTAATTTAAACAGGATGCCTTCAAGTTATCCCGGGTTCACATAAAGGTCCCCTATACTCACACTTCCAAGACAATGCATTTATATCTGCTATAACAGACCCTGCCTTAGACTCTAACTCTGCAGTCCATGTTGAAGTTCCTGCAGGTGGGGTGTCCTTTCATCATGGCTTCACAGTCCATGGTTCTTCTGCCAACATGTCTAGACATTATCGCCGTATGCTTTGTTTTAACTACAGCTCAGCAGACAATTGGCCTCTTATTGGTGTTGGAGGGCATGAGTTTACTAACCATGGTCCAGTAGACTGGGAAAGATACTGTTCCACTGTGGTTAAAGGCAAACCCAGTTTATTTCCTCGCATGCAAGCACTGCCTGTCTCTATTCCCATTCCTTTTGATTCTGGTTATGACATTTATGAACATAGTAAATCTAGTGATGTAAGTGATCCTGAAAAGTGGGAAGCATGAATTTCAAGTGCAGGGGTGTCCCAAAAGAAAAAGAGTGAAATTTAATGGAGTAATAATAGGCCTTTGATTATCATTGAGTCTCTCAATGACAATAACAGTAAAATTCCTGAACAACTTTTACTTGATTAAAATTAATCATCACTGCGTCTCTCTATCACACTGAGGCAAATGTCATTGTAACACTGGGGCAAATGTCATCGTGAGCAGGCTCACATGAGTGTTTGTGAGGTCAAAACAGTAACTTGTGTCACAGAAACATATCTTGGAAGTACTCTTCAAATTCTTCCTCCCTGTATGGAAAACAATAGTAATTCAAAGCAAATGATCACTTCTGAGTCTCTGTGAGGAATCAAACTTCAGATCTTTAGATTCTGCACTACTTTGTTCTACCACAGAGCCACAGAGACTCTATGGTGAGCAAAGCCCACTATGAAGTTAATATATGACACACGTCCTGAATACTGCTAGGATCAGCAATGTCGTTAGCATCATGTTTTGTAAAGACGTTTGATTCCTCATGGGAACTCAGAAACTTACCATCTTTCTTATTCTATTTACAAAATATGGTGTAGAATCTGAAGGTCTGAGGATTGATTCCTCATGAGAACTTGGAATTTTTTCTTTGTCCCACGCATGTGACAAGATGGAAAAACATCTTTTCCCATTAGCTACATGTTCAAATAACCTCACAATTTATCTTTCCTCACAAAAGTAAGGAATGTCATATATCCTGGTGGGAAGATAGATAATATTTAGTTGATTTATCCTCTACACTCTCTCAATAGGCACATGACTTGTATACCTGTCCATTAAGTAGTCAATAAACCCTTTAATTACTCTGAAACATGTTAAGAATAAAGTCAACTCTCAAGAGTGCATACCTTGTTTTATCAACAGTAATCTTTGCTGGGCCTTTCCAGATATCTTCACCAGTACTTGTAGAGTTGGTGTTTTCAACATCTTTTGATGATCCACCATCTGTAGTACCTAGTGCAGTAAGATTCTTACTTCAGCAATGATACTTATATTTTTACTTATGAAAGAGAGATCTTGGGTGTTTTGTTGACTCATGCCAATAAATTATCTCAGAATCTGTAATTCTCTCTACAACCTGCTATGAATTTTTGGACAATTTTGTGTTTTATCAGGATGACATGATGTATGTCTATGATGTATGTCTATTCTCATTGCCTGTTGGCCGGATGATGTGTTGATTTTTTTAGGAGAAATTTGATTGATTTACAATTACTGCAAGCCAATTTCTAATACCTCAAGTATTTACATTCAGTATAATACTAAACTTACTGCAGTTATCTTCAGAGTCTTCAGATGAACCAGACAAGTCTAGCTCTTTGTGTCTGTGATGTCTATTCCTCTTCTTTTTCTTGCCTGAATGTGATTTCTGTGACTCTCTATCCCCTTCTTTTTTCTTTTTCTTAGCAAGTTTCTTCCTTTGCAAAACACAGTTACAATTTGAATTTTTTTAAATTCTACAACATCACTCTAGTAAGCAGCTTTAATTACTAATTGTGACAGAAAGCAAAAAGATCAAGAGTAGCTAAAGAATGGATGGCCACCAAAAGATTACTTTTCCTTTCTTTGCTTGTCTCTCTGACCATCATTTAATGTATCTATTTAAAATTTGCAAGATAATATTTATTGGTAAACTAAGGGGAATTGGAAATTGGAATTCTGTTTCTTTACCAGTGGAATACCTTGCCTCTTTTCCTTATGAGAGTAACTATAAAGTCTTTTTTGATTCTGTCCTTGGTAGGGTTTGAACTACTAAGCCAAGTTCCGTTTAACATTCTAAAATTTGAGCATACAGCAGAGCCTCAATTTGGGGGAAATTCTACCCTGAGTGAGGGTGTGTCCTTTAAGTACCTTAGTGTCTCATGAATTGAAGTGTCTCTGGGAAAAGTTTTTATTATAGTTAATAGCTCCAGTGTATCAGATTAATTGACTTACTTGTGATGATAGTTGAGTTTATAGGAACAATCTGGACAGAGTCCTGAGTGAAGTAAAAGTTGGTAAATTAATGTTGGAACTTCAGAATAATTGACCTCAGCAGTCAATAAGAATTGGTAATTAAAAAAGGTTAGACTCAGAAATCTAAGTATAAGGTGTATACATACTGAGTTTAATGAGAGTATTTTTCTTTTCTCCATGTTCCATATAAGCAAAATTAACCTTGGTACAAAATAGAAAACAGACATCAGCCATACAGCACATGCACTCGCAAACCAATTATTGTATAGATGCTGTTCAGTAAAGTAGATATCTGGAGATCTAAAAGAGCTTAAAAAGTAAGATATACCATCCAATAATCAGGCATTTTGCACGTACTACTTGCCTCCCAGCTGCGAAGTCCTTCAGATTCTGAACATCTCTTGTCTCCACAGGTGAACTGCCCTAAAAATGAATTTGAAGAAAATACCAAGCAATAAATTTTTCATATTACCTTCACAGCATTTAAAATAAAAAAAGACTGTTACAATTCAGCTTTGATGCCAATAATTTACATGATTTTGTTGGGCTGGATAGTCTTGATCATCATACATTTTACATGCCCATGACCAGACTCCCAAACTGGTGGAATTAATGCCCAGGGATACTGGTAGGTCTGTTTACCGTAAACGTTTGACAACATGGCCTATTTGACAAAGATGCACATCATCACTATCCTCTTAATAGGTACAAACATTCAGCTGGTTTTAATCTGTTGACATTACTATCCTTTAAACTGAGTTACCTACCAATCAAATGATGGTTAGGACTTGACATAATTTCCTACCCAGACCAAATTTTGTTTTGACAAACAGACTCTAAGAGCAACTTTCCATTAAGTGCCCAAAGTCATCTGGGACTGTAATGGTTTTGCTTCACTTTGCTCTGTGATTGGTTTAGAAAATCATTCTACTCTTTCACTCAGTCAAATAAAGTACCTTATTGTGTGGCATGTTCACTATACTTGTGTAAGAAATTTAGCTGATGACTGTTAATAAAAAGTGACCTTTTCACACCTTTTCCTTCAATGACTTCTTTTTCAATTCTCCACCTTAATGCCACCTGCAATTTAGGATAGTAACATTGTCAAAAACTCTTGCCTAATGATAATCATATCAAACAACTTGATGTGATCCTCATTGGTTTTGCAGTAAATAACACTTTTTTATCAGTCACCTTGTTTTCTTTGTATCTGCTAAGATCAGAAATACAGTACTCTTTAAAAAGCTTGTCATAATACTTCTTAGCCAAACGTTTTTCCCTAAAAGAAGATTGAAGTCAAGATCATTACTTGAAAATCAAAGAAATGACAATCAAGTGTCACACCACTCAATGGACAGATTGCATCAATATAACACATACCAGGAACCTTCTGGGTCATCCTCTTCATTCCAAATAAACCTACAAATATGACAATTGATTAACTTCTAATGAGTTCTAATTATCTGGGAAGACCTCAGAAACTTCTTTCAAATGAAATGATATAGAAAAAGTTAATTAAAGCAGGAACACTCAACTCTGACTAGTAATAATGCAGATGTCAATTGGGTTTTAAAACTGACTGATTATTCTCTTATTTGCCAACTCCTTCTTTGTTTGAACAGAAATTAATCAAAAACCATGCAACCTAGGCCAATTGAAAAAATCCAAGATCATTGCATACATGGGTTTTAAGCCTCAAATACAAAGAGAGAAAATACCACATCTCAATTAAGGATAGTGTGGGGGCTTTTGTACAGTACCTCTCTCTGTGTACAATATATTGTCTGTAAATGTTAAAAATGATAACTTATCATTTTTCACTTTCTTTCTGGTGCTTCTGTTAGTGTTTGTGTGTAAATAAAAGGAAATTCAGTTTAAAACATTGAGGTAAATTCTATGCATGTCACAAGGGTTTATTAGTCTGCATCAATTCATTTTTTTATTAATCAGTAACTGTGATACTCAGACTATGCACTTCATAACACAATATTTGTCAGTAGTAAAGTATACACACCTATGCTCCTCTTTGATAACATCCATGTCTGTTTTATCCCTGGAGCTATTTTAGCAGATAATAAATGACAACAGATAAGTAAATATGAGATTAAGAAGATTATAGATGGTCAGAAAATAATGTATTCATTACTTTTCTTACCATAACAGAAAAATTGTTTCAATAATATCTTTCAATTAAAACATAATATAATAAACTCCTAGTTGAAAGTATTTGGCCATATTCTATCACCATAGATGCAGACATTTCCAAAGTTCCATACAATACAACTCTTACTCTTGGTTTGTAAACCCTCTACATTAGACATCAGTCTGCACTTTTTTAATACCCTTCTCTAGACATTTACTTTAGAATTGGCAAGGAGAATTTGTTTAACAATCAAGTTAGAGCTTCATTAGTGGTGATCACAGTAATAATGTAAGGAGAAATTAGATGCCAGTCACCTGTAAGAGTTAAAGGGTTAAACAACAATCCCAAAGCACAACTCAATGGTAGAGAAAATCAGTAACAAACCTGTCCCTTTTGAAATGTTCTATTCCTCTTCCATAGTATAAGATGTAATCATTGATCATTTTCTTGTGCTTTGAGTACTACATATTTTTAAAGTTACACGTTAAGGAATTGTTGACATAAAATGTAGGAAATTCTTCATGTATAGTGACCGTGCTGATAGGTTAATTTATACGGTACCAGTAAAGAAAGAAATTGAACTTGATTTAATTTTATACGATCCCAACCACACGGAAGGATTTCTAGTCAACATTATAAATGATTCGAACTTAAGTCTTCCGTCTGCCTTTAATTTTCTGTAAATAACCTTGTGGACAATCTTGAACATTTAGCGTACACTGAAGCAGCATAATAATCATAACGTGAAAGATACAGCATCCAAGGCAATGAAATCATATTTTTGGCCTTTAGCTTCTTGCCTGAAATTTAAATGTTTAAATTCTGAATTAGCAATTTAATTTCATCAAATTACAAAGTCGATATGTATAAGACACTTTCTTTTAAATATTTCTAATGAGACATGCCTGCTATATTCACTGGAAACTACACGTTTAGATGGTAAACCGCCAGTTGTATTGGCCTTCCGTTTGATCCCTGATAGTTCATCGTCTCTCCAGGTCTTGCTCCTGTTTCAGAGAAAAGTTTCGATTACAAGGATATTTTAACAAAAAGAGTGGTTGAAGATACACAAGCAAGCTCAGCGAGTCGTACAACTTTTTACCTCTCCGCTGCTTCCTGTTCATCAAACTCAGAACCATATCCCACGCCGTAATCAATCTGTAAGCGAAAAATGTTTAGGTTTTACATGTTGAGGGACGAGATCCAAAGATCGTTCCCATGTTTTTTAAGATATAAGATGTATTCTTGCCTCTTGCTGCCTTCCTTCCGCCATGTTTTCTTTTTAGCTACGAAACGCTGAAAAGTATGGAGGGCTCATAATTTCTTTTCTGGTTACCAGGTTCTTCTACTATGTAAAGAGGAATGATCTGGGGAAAGTGTACATAGATTATAGATAAATTTTAATAGCTGATGCAAACAACCTGTAGAGAAAGTGGATTCATTGGGATTTGAGAGATCCAGCAAGCGCGAGTACGAGAGTACAAAATGGGTCTTTCAAGTTGGTTTCAGGATCTTGGTGTTCCGTGGAAAATATCCATTGGAATTCTTAGTGGCGTTGCAGTGGTGACAAGCGCTTACGGAGTGTACACACTGTACAACAATCATAAGTCAATCGATGAAAAGAAGAAATCTGACGATAGTGAGACAGCTGGGGAAGCAGCAGAGAAAAAGGTTCTAGTACTGGGACTGGAAAACTCTGGGAAGAGCACATTTCTGGCCGCTTTGGCTCAGCACGACAGCCCCGTAACATCTGAGCGCGAAGATAGCCAGCCAACCCAAGGTTTTCATGTTGTTTGTGTATCAACCAGAGGCGTTAGCCTAAATGTTTGGGAAAGTAAGTAGGCTTTTTCATCGCAGTTAACGAGAGAAACACAATGCAAACATGGGTTAATTACGTACTTCGCGCCATATTAGTATTGTATTGTCAGTTGTAATGGAGAGCTTTGAAGATTGGTGATTTACACAAGCCTCTGAGCACTGTGTTTATACCTCTGTAAACTCGATCTAGGTGC